GCGAATAGATTTCGCTGCCCGACGTTCTTTTCCCCCCTTCACGACTTGACGAGTCCGGAACTGTTGCTTCGTTTCGCCAGCGCACTGCTTTAGACACATCGACAAGTCCTTCGCCATGCTGTTCAACAAGGTCTCCTATGCCCTCGTGGCCGCTCTGGCGGCTCTTGGTGAAGCCAGCCACCACCACAACGTCCTCCACCCCAAGCGTGCCAACTACAACAGCACCACGGTCGTTACCTCCTCCGTCCTGGTTGTGCCGACGCCCCTGAGCACTGGTGTCTCGGGCCCTGCCGACCCTGCTCCTGCTTCTGCCAGCGATGTCACCCTCACCTACACTCTTGGAGCCGGCACCTCGACCACCGTTGTCACCACCACCATCCACCGCACTGCTACTGACACTCACTTCGTGACTGCGGTCAGTAACCCTCCTGCGCAACAATCCGATCTGACGGGCTTGGTTAACAGTAGTATTGCAGACTCCTGCGGTGCAACAGGCGGCTCAGAATGACGATGCCACCACCACTGTGTGGTCCTCTTCGACCGCGACCTCGTTCGTGACTTTGCTGCCTGTCGCATCTGGTAGCGCCAGTGCCAATGGCAATGGCTGCGCGGCTGGTGCCACTACCACTGTGCTTCAGAGGGAGACCGTCACGGTGGTATGTGTTGCGTGACTATTTTGATTAGGGTATGGATGAGAGCCAACTGACATGTCCACTGCAGTACGCCGCTCCTCCCAGTGCCTCCCCCTCGGGCGTCCAGTCCGCCGTTGTTCAGCCGACTCCTTCGACTGGCAACTCCGGTTCTGGCAGCGCTCCCAGCGACCCCAGCAACCCTCACGGCTCCAGCCTTCCCAACATCCCCGCCCAGGCCCCGTACGGCAACGGCACTATTCCCACCCCGAAGCCGGCCAGCTCTGGATTCCTGACCAGCCGGCTGCCTCGCCCGACTGGCTTCCGCCGCCACTAAATCAATAACATTTGGTGCATCCTGGATTTGTTGCTAGCAACAAGTCTGCAACCTGATACACTTCACGTTCGTTCGCGGTTCCCGCGCTGGCTGTACCATCATGTTCCGGCAATTTCATGGCACATAGTTTCTTTTAAATAACCTTCACTTCGTGGGCGTCCTACCCTATACCTTGGTAGGATGGGACGACCGATTTCTTTTTTTACATTCGATTCTTTTGTTCTTCTCTTCTACAGCAAATAGAGGAAGGACCTTTTTCTTTCTTTCTCACCGAGCCATCTCTGAACATTTGTATGTCTCTGCAAGCGTTGATCTTTACGAGCTGGAAACGGATCTATAGAAAGTTCTACATCGAAACAACCACAGGGGTGGCCGTTCGATTTGTTCTACTGACTGTAAATTTTGTTTCGTTTGTACTGTGCTGTACTGTACTTCGGGAAAGTGTTGCCACGATGTCAAGCAGAACGAGAAAAAAAAAAGGACAGAATGGGAAAAGGTATCCACTGGTCAGCATCAATTATCCTGTACCCAACTACCAAAGCTGAGCGCCCACCTTTTACGGGAGTACGAAGTAGTAAGGGACCCGGACAAGTCGCCATTAACCTCATTCATGACGAACCTCACCCCCACCCGCATCATCCCTGGATCCCGTGACCCCTGAACCATGGAAACAGTCAGGTACAGAACGGCGACACTTACCCTGTATGGCATTGCCGATCGGTCACCGATCCTGGTTCCATGGGTGGATTATATCGAGGATAAAACTTAGATGTGAAAAAGAGTGTGTTGAATTCAATTCAAGTGGCAACTAACTACCTAGACTGCTCTCAGTCTCTCTCTATCTACATAGCTGATGACTGTCCGGCATTATTTCCTCTGATTAGTTTGGTGGGTTAATAAAGTAATAGACCGAATTGATGATGAATTGATTCATTAGTTACTCGGTGACGATTTGATATGATATGATATGACCTGATATGATACGCTACGATATGATGGTGATAATTGATAATTGATAGCCCGTCTATCTCTCTATCAATCTATCGGGTGTATTATCTATCTATTTATCGATAATAGGAAGTAATATCTCACATTTCATTCAATGAATAAATATTGCAAAATGTCGCTTTTATTTACTAGTATTATTATTACCTGCTGCCGCTGCTGTTATTAGACATGTTGCATTGTTCATTCAATCAATAGAATTGACCAACCCAATTCAATCAATCTTATTGTTATTTATTTATTGACTCATTATCAACCCTGTCGATTCTAATCTGTCTAGACTCGGTAGATTTCGAGAATCGATTACTAATTATTGATCAATTTATTTGGTTCACTACCTAATCCAGAGGTTTTGATTGGCTTTGCTTTCCTTTTGGTTGATATTCGATCATATACTCTGCTCTTCTATTATTGTAAAGAGATATATATACACCAGTAATAACATTACTCTGGGTATAAGAATAATAATAATAATACATCTACGAAACGAGAAAAAAAAAGGACCCTAATGCAGCATTCCCTCACTCAAATCTCTCTACGATGTATCAGCATCAGCGAAAGCATCTCTCTTGATACTATTACCCGCTCGCGTCGTTTTCAGCGCATCCAACCCCTCCCTCACCAATCTCTCCCGCATAACCTGCCATTCTAACCAGGTGATGCCCTGCAGGAGACAATCGGCCAGATCGTCCAGCTTGTCGATGTTCGTCGGCGTCTTTGGTTGCTGCGACCCTCGCGGCTTGCCGTCGTTCCATTTGTGGAGGAAGGCGTCGACGACCTCTCTCACGGATGGCTTTTGTGATGATGACGACGATGATGATGGTATATCTAACCTTGCTGATTGTGATTGTGATGGTGATGGTGATGGTGCTTCTTCCCTCGCAGCTTGCAGCCACCGACCCACGAGGTCGATTTTCCTCTTTTTGACTTCCCTAGGACTCGCTTTCTTGGTCTTCTTCTTATTCTTCTTCTTTTCTTCACCCTCCTCCTCAACTACTTTCTCTATCTCCCAATACCGCGCAATCCGCTTCGGATCCATATCCTGCACCTCAGCCGCACACTTGCCCAGCCGCCGTAGCGTGTGCAGCACCGCGTACAGCATCCCCTCGAACACGCCCACCCGCAAGGTCCACTCCTGGACGGCTGGCCCCCCGCCGGTCCGGAACCGCTGGCGCTCGATCAGGATGTGCGTGGGGCGATACGTCGCGATGAGCGAGGTGAGCAGCGTGTAGGCGTGTGCGGCGTAGATGTCTGGACTGAAAGGATCGGTTTGATCTTCGCCTTCATCCAGCTCTTCTTCTTCTGCTGCAGCTTCCGCTTCCGCTTCCGCCTCCGCTTCTGCTTCTTCAGCAGTACTAGCGACATCCTCGTTGGCCGCTTCATTCGACGATGGCAATGATGGTGTCTGTCCTGGCCTCGTCGCCAAGGTACGGAATACCTCCGGCGGTAATAGCACCTGTCCATCACCATCACCATTGCTATTGCTATTACTGCTGCCAGCATCTGTCCCAGTAGGAAGCGCCGAAACGGCAATACGATGCCATGCATTGAGCGTAGGCTTCATCGTCGTCAGCCTGCTGCTATCTTTCATTGCCGTCCCTGTCACTGTCCCTGTTCTTGCCGGGACAAGCAAATGCGCAAAAGCCAGGTTCTGGATCCCCATGTCGATGCTCAAGATGCTCAGGTCACGGCCATGACTCTGGCGGTTCGACCCTCCTCCTCCTTGTTGCTGTTGTTCTTCAGCAAACGAATGCTCATACACAAACTCGCTGCGCAGCAACTCCCTCCTGAGCCGCTGCTGAAGCGCCTTCTTAGGACCCGCGTTCCGGATCCCCGTCGCCTGCGCGATGTTCTTCAGCTCTGTCGTCTTCAATGGCGAGAGCCATGCTAGTATTGCCGCGCCTGTCGCCTTCTTCTGTAGTAGAATCGGGGAAGAAGTGAGGCGCATTATTATTCTGTTTGTTTATGGAATAGTAATAACTAATGAATAATCATGACAGATGAATGAATGAACAGTCATTCTGGAACGACTTCTGCTCTTTTTTTTTTTTCAAGTAGCCAGGTAGTGACTACTACGGAGTATTAGTAGTAGTGGCAGCGGTGGGTCAGCCGATCGTCGATTGATCGACAGTGATAATGACAGCCACAATAATAATGATAATGACGAGAAACAAATGCATGGATACGTATCAATTCAATCAGCTGAGCTGCAACAACATTGCTTGGGTTTTGAAAGCACTGTCTTGCTCGAGTAAGTGGGGTTAAAAAGATGAGTTAATTATAATTAACTCATGAATTGACAGATAGATAGAGGAAAGAACATGTTGGTCTCTTCAGAATGAGAACGAGACAGTCGAGAATTGTAGCATGGCGGTGGTGATAGCAGTGCCATAATATCCTTGCAGAATCTACAGGACTAACCCTACAGTCACGTGACGAACACTCCGATTCTACTAAACGAGCCAAAGCATCTAATATAACCATATCGCTGCACTCCCAACCCAAGACTCCAAAATGCTGCCATGGCCCACCAAAAGGCCCCCAAAACACAGGACATTGCTTGGACGCCAAACCAGCCAACTATGACCATGTACAAGGCAAAACTGCCATTCAGAAAGTGACCAGCGCCGTGAATGTGAGAAAAGAACAGCTTTTAAAATAAGACTGAAAAGAACAAGAGAAAAAAAAAGACTATACAGCAGACCAGGACTGTGCCCGACTTCTCTACCTTCCCCTTGCAGGCATGTTCGGATACATACCGGTTTGCAAGCAGGGCGTGTCCTCTCGCGCATACAAGAGCGGTCCCCAAACCCGCCAGTGCAACACTCCAATATGGGCGAGCCGCGTCGCAACTGGCTCCAGGTCGATGTAATGTTGAGAGATGGGCCCCTGCGGGTGAAGCTGTCGGGTGCGCTGTGACTCGCAGATGGCAAGAGGCGACATGGTGAGATATTTCTTCGCCAGCTCAAACGTGATCTTAATGAGCTCTTTCCGAATGATGTCCTGGATGAAACGGAACCGAGGCGACTCGTGTGTAAAGTCGTATTCCAAGACTTCTTGGATGACGTGGTCGGAGACCACCTTAGTCCTGCCACACGCTTCACATGCAAGCCCCGCGAGATCCAGGGCCACATCGCCCACGTTCGGCACACGAGCCCCCCTCCGACGTCGACCGTCGTTGTCGTCGAGCAAAGACGATATCCGCGAGCGGAATTTGGAATAGAGATCGCTCCGGGACGACGAAGTAGACCGATTGTCGCCGATAAAGGACTCCAGGACAGACCAACAGATGTTGATGTTGATGAGATGCTGTAATTCCGCCCGGAGCTGCCACAAACGTCCCATGTCAAAGTGGAAGGTCTGCGGAAATTTTACCGGGTCATCGAATTGCAGCAGGAGCTCAACTAGCCCATGAAACAGAACTGCTACAGGCGCGAAGCTTTTGTTCTTCGGCTCCTTCGTCAGATCAGGAACCTGTTTCCGCACCGCAAGGTACCAGTTCTTGGACTCCTCCACCCTGAATTCATTGTTCATAATCCTTTTGAAGAAATATCCTTGCAGGAACGGTATTGTATCCTCGATCAGCAAGATCCGGAATGCACGTATCTGGTGGTTGGCGACGTCCTGGAGAGATCTGTCAGCATGGTCCTGATTTCGGACCCCAGTTCTTCACCTACCAGTTTCATCATCTCTAAAATACCGAACAGCGTCCGAAGCCCATTGACCACTTTCGCCATGTCCTGATGCTCAGATCCTGCCTTGATCTCCTCAACCATCTTGTCCGCTTCCTTATCCCTCATCGGAGCACAGTGCATCTTCAAGAGCCCTGCGAGCCAGGTCGAGAGACCCACCAAATCCAAAACTCCTTTCCGAACTTGCTGCATCAGCAGCGGCACATCCAAGTTCTGCACGACGCTGGGATGGTCGCGTTCTGGTACAAGGGTTTTGAGGACGTCCTGCAGGGTCTCGAACATGGTGGGTAATCTCGGCGTAAACGCAGCTTGGTCGACCGGATCGGAGTTGTATTCATGGCAGATCTTGATGTTGTTTCGGGTGCAAAACGCGTAAATTGATATCTCGATCTGCAGCGCATCCCAGTAGTCGTTCGCTGCTCTCCTTTTCTTCTGACCCTTTTCGCCGTCGAGGTCGGGTTTGAAATGGAGATCGCGCTCAAAATTCGCGTCCGTTCGAAGGTGGATGTTTCTCATGATGCGATCCAGGTCGAGTTCACTGAGAGTTTCCTTGGTGACTGGCGGTAGCAGTTCGGCCGACTGCAGCAGCTTGAGTTGACTGGTGTCCAGATTCAGCGCCTTCGGGATGAGCATGGTCATGGTTCGCGACTTGCTCTTCTTCTTCGGAACCTTCGCGGAGGATGACAAGGACCGGTGAGAAGGCGATGTCGTCTCGCGAGGGAGGCTTTTTGCGATATGAACCCCATTCATTTCCGCAGCAACCCCATTGCCCGGTGCATCCTGTCGGGGATCGAGGCTTTCATTTTCGGGGGTATTCTTGGAGTCCGTGGACCTGCCAAAGCCATCGACACAGTATTCGGAGGCTTCCTCCTGATCGCTGTGGGTGTCGGCTCTCGACTTTTTGGGTTTCTGCAGATCCATTGCGACTAATCTGAGGTCGACGTCAGATCAGCTACTAGTCCTCGCAATCCTTCTTCCAGGCGGCCAAGATAATCGATGCTCCCACGAGATGGCAGTGAAGAGAAACAAGGGCGATCGGTCTGACTTGATGATGTTTCAGTGCGGTTGGTTAGTCAAAAGTATCACGCCGGATGCAGAACGAGTCTCCAAGTCAGAGCGCCGCCATCGGAGTGTGTCTTCGGCCCGTAGGCCACGATAGCAAACGACAGAGCAGCGATGAACCGGAAAGCACGTTCGAGGTCGGACGTCTTTGGCAAGAGCCGCGAACAGCGCCAGGCGTGCCAAGTTAAACTCCTCGGACTGAAGCCGAAGTGATGTTGGAATGGCAAACAATTGGTGCACTGGAAATGGAAAAAGAAAAAGAAAAGCAAGCGCAGGAAAACTGCAAGCAAGGCAGGATGTCCAATTGTCGCCCTTAATTGCCAAAGTCGCTAATTAATGAATTTTTTATTTCAGCGTGATCACGGTCGTGGGGGGACAAGGGAGTGGGAGAACTACTAAAGGGGGAGGGACAGCCAAAAACAACTAAAGCAGCGCTTTAGCGGAATAATAAGCCACTGTACGGAGTAGTCTAGGTAGGGTTAGGGAGATTTGGCCTCTAAACGGCCCAAGCTGGCCGCAGGGAAAGCGTCAAGTGAGGCTGTTCTGCTGGAGTTTCGATCTGCGAATAATCTGCGATCGACCGCGTGCGGCTTTACTATCGAATGCCAGGGCAGAAGAGGTTCCGCTTTCAGCATCCTCAGGACTCCGTGTCCAGGCTAAGGGAGCGCCCTCACACGAGCCACGTCCTGAATGACGCAGTGGGTCTTCGACCGTTGCTTATCTGACCATTCTAAACGTGACGGAATTCTCTGGAAGTAATCGATCATCAATCAATCAAGCAGAGGAGCAGGGGATGGCATCGTAGACAACAGCCCTTGCCACAGCTCCTGGCTCCCGGTTTGTGCTGCCCCGGCTACGTTATTCGCGCAGAGGACACCGCAGCTGGCAGATCGCCCATCATTGACGCGGCGTGATGCCTTGCGCGACACGTTTTGACTGGGTGCTGACTGCTCTCCGTCAAACACGCCGTATCCAGCATTCTTCGCCACGAGCGCACGGATGCGGTACTCGCCTTGTCGGCTTGGTGACGCGGGGGAAAACCAGCACACGCCGAGGACGGACATCGTGAGACCAGCTCAGTCGGTGAGAGTGGATCGATCCATCACACCTACGACTCTAAGAGCTAACGAATTAGCTCCATGTGTTGTGGCGGGAATGCGACTTTCCGCCCCGAGGGACTTGAGACTCGTCGACGAGGCGAGCAACCAAGGACTCTCGGGACTGCCGACGAGAACCCACGGGCACCAGTGCTCTACGGAGTGTGGAGTACGGAGTACAGAGGGCATCTGTAGTTTGGATATGCGCCGTCGAATACAGTAGGTCTGTAATTATCGGCGCGTATATTAATGGCGATCGAGCGCCTTTCGACCCGAGGGACAGCACCCGGTTGATTGCGGACTTGACCACGCTGACGAGGCAACACTCGGCGAGGGCAATAAGAGGAAATTGTGCCTGCATGTCCTGGCAGTCTCGCTCTCTTCATGAAGGGACGGGATTGCGGCAGCCCCGTACGGAGACCGCTGGCGGATTCCGTCGTTGGACCTGTGTGCCGTGCATCATCAGCTCCAGACTGGATGTTTGCTCCGCCTCGCATCGAGGGCAGATGGGAATAGCAGCGAGCCAGGGAGCCCATGGCTGGTAGGACAGAGCTAAGTTTGGTCGGGACGGCGCTCCATCCAGGCCGTCGGCAGCACGGGATGCTATTTTAGCGGCCCAGGCGGGCGGTTGGATGGGGTGGGTGGATCACCTTGCGAAGACAGACTGATACGGAAGTGTGAGGCGACTGTCTCGTCTCTGGCGCAGCTGGCTGCCGACGACGCCGTACAGACTGCAGAACTCGAGCGGGATTCCGACTGTCGACGCTGCGAGGAGTCGAGGACAACAGCGAGGTCGGGGTGCAACGTTCTTCCCGACGGTGCAAACGGATGACTTGCCTCCCGAAACAGCTGTGCTCTAGTGCAGCCAACTCGCTATCTGATTTCCATTCTCTGGCCAGTGGTCACACTGTGCACTGCACACTGCGCACTACGGAGTACACATCGACCGACTACTCTGTACGGCATCGCAGATCGGCGGCAAGCCAAGCGCAATAGGCGTCGTTAAGCCGCGCCACAGCATTACTTGTGCGGTGTGTCAGCACGCGAATGGAAAAGGGGTTCGACCTTGGTCCCTCTCGAAGGCCACGTTCGCAGCCGTCGCCTCACTTTGCGTGCGCGAATCCATACACGTATGTCTGTCCGTGTGTACGGAGCGTACTCTGTAAATCTGTACTCGGTCATCTGTACGGTGTACCAGGCTCAGCCCTCCAGACAGACCCTCTGCAGCATTCCGGCCGTCCCGCCCCTCGCCAGCGAGGGGTATGGCCCTTGCCTCGCATCCCTGCCTCTCTTTTGAAACAATCTCACGCCAGGAGGCCTAAATAAAATTGGGGGCGTTAATCTGCGGAGACTGGTCATGTGTCCGAGACGATCTGCCCTAGACTCATCTAGCACCTGTAGTTCTAGTCCTCCTGGACAGGATAGGACTGTGAGTTGCCAAGGTACCTACCTGCTAAGGCAAAGGGCCGCGTTCTCACCAAGCGAGAAAAGGCGGTGGAGATCAACGGCTGTCGTACGGTCGTAGTTTCGTATTCGTTCAGATTGTGAATCGTACGGAGTAAGCTGTACGGAGTAAAGTAGCTAACTCGTCCTAAAGGCAGTTAGAATCGATTTCTAGTGTAGCGTTCAGTAAAATACTTACCTGTCGAGTGAGGTCGTCATCGCGATCGAGGTTTCCTTGGGCTTGGAGACTTTCGTTTCACGTGATTCCTATCAGGAAAATACTCAACAATACCCACAACGTCCATCGATATAAATTTGACTCACTTGAGCATCGACATAAAAAAAAAATACAAGCCTCGAGCGGGTCTTTTCTTGCTAAATATAGAAGCCAGTTCAATCAATCAATCATGCTCAGAAAAAAACAGCATCAATACGGGGTAGGTTTACGGCAACGTTCTCTCCGTCGATTAATTCAGGCCCTCGAGGCCGTTTCATCTAGTCACTTTTAACGATCGTTTATTCCATCAGTCAAACAACCGAAAATCCAGCAGATTCCACTGGCAATGCATTAAATAGCTCAACAGGTCTCCAAACTGCGACCCTTCTATATACACTCCGAGAAACTCCACAGAGCCAACTTTTGCTATCGGGATAGAACCGGGTTATCGCAAAACACAAAGGACCAATCTGTCACCAGAAAGACAGAAAAATGAAAATCACCACCACTGCAAATCACTTCAGAAGAGAAGACAAGAGGCAAAACAGTAAATCGAAAGCCCGTTTTGGAAACACCGTACGCCACCCTTGAATGCCAGCCGAGGTGTATCCTACCTTAAAATCTAGGAAAGAAATGTCATATAATATCCTGTAACTCAAGTCGTAACATCAAGTTCATACGGATAAACTTCGGGGGCCCGACGCAGACGTTGGTAAAGACAATAGTATGATACCGTCAAGAGGGCGTTCACTCTGAAATGCTAGGCCAGGCCGAAAGTTCAATGTAGAGATGTATAAAGCTGTCAAAGCGTGCGTGCAGAAGAGAGCGCAAGCTGCTGGAAGACAATATATAGGTATCGGAGCAAATTCAGATATAAAACTGCGAGTCAAGAGCTCTGGCACATCGAGTTATCACCGACGATATAAGTACGGCGCTTGGTTTTGCATTGCCAGCAATGAGTCGGCTCTCTGAAAAACATCCCCTGCAAAGAACTTGTCGCTGTAGGCGCTCACAGGAGTTGACGGCACCGTAGCTTGTGCGGCAGGACCTAATGCAGCACTCAAAGGCGTAGCTGGCAGAGGAACCGACTGGGGCGACGTGCTAGAACTGACGCCGATCGGGGTTCCGTTGGACATGAAAGGGGCCGTGGATGTCGGATGATGTTGCGGATTCTGCGGCTGCAGTGGTGGACCATAAATGCCCGGAGCATTTGGTGCGGTGCTCATGTCCGCAAGATAAGACCAGGGCGAAGCCTCGATTAGTCTGCCCGCCTCCCTGCTGGCCTTTTGAACGGGTCGCAAGATGGCAATAACATCAGTCGGGAGAAGTTGCAGATTCCTCGCATCTCGCATGTCCGTCACCAGGTCGACAAAAGACTGCATGAAAGACTTGCAAAGCTGCCAGAATTCCCGTTGATTCCTCACGCCACCTCCCGGTTCCTTGACCTTCATGGTTGATAGGCGGTCACCCAGGGCTTCAGAGCACTCGTAACATGTACGGCAACGTCTGATGAGGTTATTCCAGAGCCTGCGGACCTCTTCTGGCTCTCGGGCCTCTTCTGCCATCTCCAAGCATCGAGTGAACTGTCGATAAGCAAGAGGGAGCGCGTGAAGAGCGGCATGATAGGCAGAGGTGAGTTGTTTGAAAATCTTCTCGAATAGTGGGTCCTCTTCGAGCTCATCCATACCCGTCACTGGGTTGATCCGGCTCGCTGAGGAACTAGGGATCGGGGGGAATGATTCTCCAGAACGGGGAGTGGCAAGTGACGAAGGCACTGACGTATTTAGAACCGTAGCAGATCTGCTATTCGACCGACTCCGCCCACCATAATTGAGGGGTACAGAATTCGGAGTAGATACTGGTGAAAGCGTTGAAGGCTGGTAGGTCGAGGTAGATGGAAACGAGTTTCCAGGACCCCCCTGAGGATGCTGAATTGTCGTATCACTTCGAAGACGACGCATGGGCGGAGCTTTCTCCCTAGTAGGCGTCACAGCCGGCCCTGCAAAACGGTCAGGGCCGAATTCGCCTTGCACTGCCTCTGCCTGTGGATGTTTATCACCCAACGCCTGACTCTGCTTCCGTGTTTGCAGTGGAGCCCCAAGGTTGATACAGGCATTTCGCAACTCAAGTAAGCTACCGTAAACCATCAGCAGGAGTGAGCGGACATATCGTGCATCGCCGTTGGCAATGATTTTCTCGACACTCTGTCGCAGCAGCGTGCCAACATGCGTGTATGCCATAAGACATGTCACACATTCACGCTTCACCTCGTTGGACATTCTTGCAAAGTCTCTGTCATCCACAGACATATTTTCCACATTTTCCAGGGCTTCATTCAACTGATCCACATGGGTCGAAGCATTATAGAAGACAATCTCCAAGCTGTTCCGGCGTGCGTCATCTCCCTTGATGACATTGATTAGCGTGGAGATGTGAGGATGAATCTGGAACAGAGAGAACAAAATCCCCTTTGCGCCTTCAATGATCGGTTCTTGGGCCTTTTCTTCTTTGTGTTCGGGCAAGCTCGACATTCGCCGGACGAAGGTGTCCCGCACCCTCCTAGGTTCACCTCGGGGACTGCCCGGACTTGACGAGCCGCTCCCACTCGCTCCACCAGATGGATTGGTTCTCAGAATGGAACCATGGCTGAGACCTCGTAGATGACTGTTGCGATATGGCCGCATCTCATCCAGAGTGCTCAGGTCGGTTTTTCTCGATACTAACCCCATACGCTTATTGCGAGCAGACATTGGAAGGACACCTTCACTATTACTTCGGTTACGTTCATTACTCCCCTGATGCGAGACGCCCGGTCGCGAGTAGCCACTGTTCTGACCAGAGGCCAGACGTTGATGGGACCTCATTGGAATAGGCGGTGGTCTGGAGAAAGACGGCGATCGAGGGTCTGAGGAACCATCACCCGTGCTGGGGATCACCGGAAACCGACTGTTGGCCCCCCGTTTCACAGGTTTTGGGGTATCGACTAGAATCTCACTTGCATCGCTCCCGCTTTCGGGCTCTGGAGTGGTTTGCTGGACCCTAGCCTTCAGAAATTTCTTGACTTCAGCAGTGACTGCAACTTCCCTTTCGGTATCCGTCATAGACAAAGAGGCTACTTCACTCTCTTTGGCTTCAAGGACTCGTCGCAACGGATATTTCAGAAAATTCCCAGCAACCTTCAGAATCTGCAATTTGTTCATGTCCGCGAGTCCCGCCGGCAAATCATCCAGCCGGTTTTGCATGATAGAGAAGACTCGCAAAGACGTCAACTGTCGAATTTCATCCGGGATTTTGCTGATTTTGTTCCGACTGAGATCTAGAATTTCTAGCAAAGGCAACTTATAAACCTACGGAGTGTTAGAACTAACACGAAGATCTCGCTGGGTTTGGGACCTACAGACCCCTTTCGGGAATTCGCGGAAATTGTTCGCTCGAATGTTGAGGTAACGAAGATGAGCGCATTCTGAAAACCGATATGGGATGCGGGACAGTTGGTTATTTGACAGAGACAACCTAACCAGCATCAGTACTTAGTCTTAACATTGGAGATGTCAACGGAGCCGTATCATGCCCGCGCAGAAGCTGTCATACCTCTCAACCTCATCCTTGATGATATCCACAACTGCCTCTGGAATCTGACCAATGTTCGAATGGCCCAGGTCAATCGTCAGTTTAGGCCTTACGACATCGCTCACGGCTTCACTACCGGCGAGCGATCGTTTCGTCTCTTGGATCCCGCTCTCGACGGCTCGCCGTGCCAGCTCAATGATTTCTTCCTGTGACAGTTGTGGTGGTCTCTGTTCGGCATGGGTTTTGCCGGTGTTGCCATGTCCGGTTCCTCGGTTGGCTTTCGGAGATTCATCTTCGTGACTGGACGGTCCACTGTTCGAACCTGTCGAATAAAAGCTCGACTCTGGGGTTATCCTAATTTCATCCTCGTCACCCGCATCAACCCCATACTGGCGGGGAGCTCTGATCGTATCCTCTGGGCGAGCCATGGTAGAGATCATGGCCGACGACTGCTTAGGTGGGAGGCCACCCAAGAGGGACTGAAATTCGAATTCTACCCGCTGATCAGATCGTCAGAGTAACGTTCCCTGGCGTTCATGTGTCCCTGGAGATGATGTCGACGCCTAGACACTGCATAATCGACGACATAAACGAGCTCGGGCGTAAACAACACGCGTCGGAAACGGTTTAGGAAACGGTGGAGCTGGTGTGCTGGACACGATGATAGCGGGGTTGCAGGTCAGGATAAACACGCGGCTGGGGAAGATCTGTATGTTAGCGATCAGCCATTCCAAAGACGTCGGTTTGCTTGTTCTGAGGCAGGGGAGGGTGGCCGGTCGAACCTTCGGGAGCAAGGGAGGTCTCTCTGACGGGTAGGAGTCAAACACCGGCTCGCCAACGGGACGAACAACCACCGTTCTGCGGGAGATGGAAGAAACAGCTGCTCAAAAATGCCCCAGAGAATATTAAGAACGAAGTTGTAAGAGAGGGTGAATCCTGCGACGCCGTTCGTTTTGACTAGGAGAACTATGTAGGAATGGGCTTTTGGCAGCCCAGCGTCGGTGGAGCCTGGCAGCTGGCAGGCCTGGGGAGCTGTCCTCTGTGCTGTATGCCACTGTCAATTGTCGACTGGGCTTACGCCCTGATGGCGAGAGGCTTGCAATTCGACAACAATTAGAGTCATTGGGTTGGGCAGGCATGAGATGTGTTAAGTCAAGTCGCGATACGTCGGCGGGTCTGGAATCACTGGATTGGAGCCGCCAACACGGTGCAGGAACGGCCGGCCAGAGCCTGCTGTGGCTGCCCATTGGCTGGGTCGGCGGGGGCTTGGCACCGAGTCGCGCTTCCCTCGGAACGGCCCCCCGGACTCACGTGACCCTCGTATCGATATCGCGAGTTTATCAATCTTCTCTTCGCCGTCTTGCAAAGCTTCAAAGGACTTGAGTCGGTGTTCTGAAGCCGGAAGGTTGATCCGATCTGCGGACAACCAGTTGGATCAGCAAACTGAAAATATTTTTCTGTCCGCCATAGACAATGGTGTCTTCCGGCCTGGTACGCCCTTCCATTAGCTTGTGAAGTGCTCGCGTGTGAATGAGAGCAGTTATCTATCTACCCAAGGAAAATATAAACAGTCTATCATTTGCTGCACCCCTATATCATAGCCCCAGACTGCTATATTCTTAACATGACATGCAAAAAAAAGTCCAAGAACCCAAGACATGACTCACAATGCTGGTCCAAAAATGATCTTCAAGCTAGCAAGGACTAACTGGGGCTATCACCGGACCAAAGGATAAAAATAACCATACAATTCCTGAGTGTGGCAGTGTGTTAATATCAGAACTTGCTACATGTAGTCTCATATTCATCCTTGGACTTATCCAGAACTTCTGGCCCCACTATCCAATATCTCTTACAGGGACTATGAGCGGCTGAGGCCAACTATGGGGGCTTTAGCCAGGAATTTTATTTATGCTTTGCAAATGCACTATGGTGGCCATGTTGAGGCTCTAACTCGCACGCCACATTCAGCAGGGTTCCATGGTGTTTGAAAAAAAAAAAAACAGCTAAAATACCAGCAATAAATTCATCTACCCGCACCATCGACACTTCCATTTCTGGATTCTTTGCTAATATTACCATGCCGACTCAGAGTGGCGGCAGCAGCAGCAGTGATCGTTACTATTATTAGAATTTTTTAATACTACAGAGACTGTATGAATAATCTAGCAAATTAGCAGCCCAGCAGCTTTGTCAGCCAGTTGCTTTTTTTTAGCGACAAAAAAGAATATGCGCAAGCGGGATGTGCAACTTGAGTATTCAGCTCGGTCTAAAAGAAAAAGCTTATTCGCGCGACAAGACCCCGCCACCATGCTGACAGGCCAAATGCTGAATTAGGTTGTGAGGGGCCGGAAAATAATGTGGGGGAGGCTGCTAACAATGCCTTCGTGCTGCTTTTTTCTTTGTCATTATTACTACAGGGACCTTCTGCCTATCTAGGTAGAAGTGGCGTTTTTGGCTTTCCAGAATGCTGTTCACAGCTCTTCCTTCGTGGCCCCATATTCCAAGAAAGGAAATACAGTGCTCAATAGCCTCAATACAGCTGTTAAAATAAGAAAAAAAATCTGAATTCGCATGATGATCAGCATCAGCCGTTCTCAGTGGTTATTTTGTAGACTACGACTTGTATAGGATGCTGAAGTCCTTGTCCAGTCGGTCCATGAAGAGACTATATATACACTGTCTGTATCCAGGGCAGGGAGGCAATAAGATGTGTTCGTTCTCTAACTTACTGAATCCCAAATGGTGGTATGAATCTACCTCTATTCATCTCTGTGGTTGTATACCATTCCAAAATATCATATCTAGTCATCGCCTTTTCGCAGCCATCATCGAAAAAGAAAACAACATCATGTCCACCATCCAGAACATCACAGTTCCCTATGTGCCGCTCTCGGAATTCGACTGGTCCTTTGCTCGAAGCGGCCCCCTCCCCTGGAATCAAACTGTGTGGTAGGTATAGTTATTGAGAAGCGTTTGTCTGTTCAACATCTAAGGACATGCTAATGCCCATGCCAGGTCTCTGATCGCCGTTTTCACTGCTCTTCCACTATGGATGACCATTGAGCTAACGGTCTGGGTTTTCTATACCTTCCGGCGCTACTCTGGCCTCTACTTCTAGAGCGTCCTTATCACCACATGGGGCGTCACTCTGCATGCCCTCGGTTTCGTCCTGAAAGACTGCGTGCCCCAATGCAACTGGATCATCAGCACTACCATCGCTGAAATAGGATGGGTCGGCATGGTCACGGGCTTCTCCGTCGTCCTGTACTCGCGCCTCCACCTGATCAGCTTCGTCATGCGGAATCGACACATCCTGCGCATTGCCCTCGCCATGATCGTTACGGACGCATTTCTCTTCCACGTTCCTACCGTGGTCTTCCAATTCGGTCTCTCCGACCCGGAGGCCCATGCCAAGTACCTGCCCTATATGAGCCCCATGGAGCGAGTGCAAGTGCTCGGCTTTTCGGTCCAGGAGATCATCCTGAGCATCATCTATATCTACGGAACCATGAAGATGGTCAAGGAGTCATTCAATCCAAGGGTCCGCACCACCATCATCTTTTTGATCCTCATCCAGGTAGTCGCCATTCTCTGTGATGTCGTGGTGATCGCCCTCGACTACGCGCAGTACTTCATGCTTAAGGCCGTTATCCATTCCTTCGTTTATGCCTTCAAGCTGCAGCTTGAATTCGTGATCCTGAACGAGTTTCGGGAAGTCATCGCAAAGGGTGGACTGGCGCCTCTACAGCTAAATGGCATCCAAGATGATCGCGTTTTCATGTCCACCCCTCCTCACAACGGCATAAAACCAGTCGCAAGCTCAAGCTCGTGAATTGGTTCCTTTTCTAGTTCTATTCATTTTCTTTCCTTCCTTACTTACTCTCTTCCTCTTCCTCTTCTTCTTTCTCTTCTTCTTGTATTTTATGTATTTTTTTTTATGTCATGCCCTAAGGACGAGGCTCATGCCCTTCCCGTAACGACTACCACTACCCACACCAAGATATATATACTCCGTATAGTTTGTTTATATCCTAGCAAGGCCATATACATACCCACTTATCTGCGTTTCCTACGTCATATCTAGTACCAGCATCATACATGGCGCATACTTCAAGGCCAAATTGAGACTACTGATGAAGACTCATAGGGATGACCGTTTTCGAATGAAAGAGTTGAAGAAACGTAATTTCCCTCAAATATACACAAGTGCTTCCCTCAGATGCCTCACGACAGATAGACAAGAAGAAGACACAGATAAACCCTATAACATTGCCCCAGTAATGGTACATGAATTGGTAACATATTGGATATAAGTTATCACTGAGGAGCAGCAACTGCTTCGGGAGACACCCCACTGCCAGCGAGATTATCGTCAGGAGGCGTGGCAGTCTCCGGAGCACCAGCAAACGCCGCTGCCTTCTGATCCTGCACCTGTGCCTGCGTCTTCGCCCACTGCTTCCAACGCTCGAATTCCTTGTTCTCGAGTTCCATGCCAACTTCTAGCATGGTAGGACCGAAATTCGCTCCGTAAGCTTCCGCCTCCTCGGCAGCAACTCGTCGCGCAATGTCCTCACGTAGTCGGAGCTGATAGAACTCCGACGTGCAATGTCATATGCAGCGCTCTTTGTCATGTCCGGCACATTGTTGAGAAGCCAAAGTTGTCGTTGAACGACGCTAAAAAGATAGGAACGTTAGTGCACCGTTCACGGACATGAAGACACAGATGCTATAGAAAAAAAAGTCGATCTTGAACAAATCAATCATTGACGCACCTCTCGCCATCCAGTCTCTTTCCAGGCTGCTGTATCCGGCTCCAGTCCCATTTCTCATGGTCATTGCCAGTAGTCTCAAGCACAATCCTTGGTCTTGCCAGCTCCCAGGGGTGGTCGCGGAAAAACTCCTTTCGCAACTGATCCTCCTCATACTTGATCTCCACAGGCTGAAATAGGCGGCTAGGCTTCTTGGATTTCGGTTTAGGCTTCTCATCCGTTTCGAAGACGACCTGCGGCGTGGAGGATCCGGGTAGTGTCTTCACTCGTTGCCGGACGAGCTGATGTTGTATCGGCCGGTTACGAACCAGGACCTGGGCTGGAGGGATATCGGCCACAACATCTACCCATGGAGGGAGCTTGGAGATTTTCCCGTTCGCCTTCTGTCGGAGGGCAGTCTGTCGCACTCGGAGTGCGGTGAGGTTCAATTTGCCCATGGCTGATCGGGAAGACGGTCAAGACCGTCGGGGTGTCGCGCAAGGGCCGTGAGGGTCGGACGCAAATGTATGAGACTGAAATCTGAGTCAAATATTTTATATCAAGGGATGGAATGAGATATCGAACCCACACTGGGCTGAATTGCAAGCGCTGTCGAAGGTGAACGGTCGGACTGCCGTTGGAGATCGCAGCGCGAGTTTGTCGCGGGAAAAAGAGGATCGCAAATGCGGCGCTCCGATTGGCCTGACGCCCGCTCCGCGCGAGGAGCCTGCGAATTGCAAGCTCGACATATTTCAATAAAACAAGTCTCCGTCAAAAGGCACACGAGTCTTTCTTCCCATTCTCAAGCCACCATTGCTGGCTGGGTGGGATTTTCTTTTGATCTTGTTTCTTTTGATCATTACTTTTTTCACCTGGAAAAACTTTTACCGGTTGTTTGATATGCATGGTTGATCCAATGCCACGATGTCCGCACTCCCATGCCTCACCAAAGTAGCTCCGCAAGCTCGACAGGTTTTAGACCTGTTCCCCAGCAGAGCTTGGTCTATCCTGCTACATCGAGATCCTGTTCGATGTCTAACTCCGAAGCAATCTCCTATCATTCGCCCCTCAGACGCCTGCGACACCGATCCCGTCGTCCCCACGTCGCGTCTATAGCAGATATTTTTATTAGCTCGTTAGTGCTTGCTGGATTCTGTCATGAGCACTCTCCTCGGGCCAGGAGCATTGCTACGGCGACTAGATTCGCTTCAGGTGACAGACGTCCGGCTCTGCTCAATCAGACCGTCAATCGTCAACTCCCTGCCAGGAGATGCCCTGATCTTTCGAGGTCACCTATCGAGCATTTTCGAGGGAAGCATACAAGGACGACCCGACTGTACTCGACAGAAGCTAAACAGAGTGTTGATGATTATTCTAGCGAATGCGATTGGGGGGAGGATTCGCCGGTGAGAAGCATTGAAGGCAACGCACATTCGGGGTCCGATGAAGCAGCCAGGAGATTTGACCCAGGGGAAGATCAGAAGTCGATGCTAGAAATTGCACAGCCAGTGGCGCCTAGGGAGGATGTGCTTGTTCGCGAGGCGCCAAAAGACACAGGCCCTCATGATTTGTCGTCGGCAGCTGTGGAAACATACAATCGTTGGAGCCATAGTAAGCCGACCCCTGCGGCAGAGCGAGTCGAAGCTGTATCTGAATTCTACACCAGCGTTCTGGGAGAGAAGAAAGACTGGACAGATGCAGTGAAAGCTGCAACAGATGAGCAGGAGCAGGGTAACGTTAAAATCCGGCGTGTCTTTTCTGGTTGGAAGGACACCTCGCGTGACAGGGTCGAGAACCCGGCGGTGCAACGGTTTCTGGATGCTCTTTTTGATGAGTCTAAATCCAATCAGTATATTTTCAGGCTCTATAGGGAGCTCCCACCGCCAGGGGTTGCTCACCTGTCAAAGAAGACGCGAGGCAAGCTTCTCCGCCGGTTTGCAGACCCTCCAGACCGGCGCTGGTCTAATGCCCGCCGCTACCTCGCTCTGGTAGACGACATGACTGCTGCGAACCTTCCATTGTCTCGCTCATTGTGGACTTCTGCCATTCATCTTGTCGCGCGTGCGACTGGACGAGTGCGTAAAGAGGACCTAAGGAAAGCCATTGGTCTATGGCGACGGATGGAACATGTGGCGGGAATAAGGTCGGACAGCGCTGTGTTCGAAGTCCTCTTTGACATTTCTCTCAAGGCTGGCCAGTATATGGTGACTGAGCGTTTGGTGGCTGAGATGAAGAAGCGTGGTCTCAGTTTCACGCGGAATGGCCGAGTCTCCAATATCTATTACCACGGCCTTCAAAAAGACGTCGATGGGATCCGCAGAGCCTTTAGTGATTTTGTTCAGTCCGGGGGGATTGTCGACACGGTAGTCTTGAACTGTCTGCTCGCTTCTTTTCTCCAGGCAGGTGACCTTCAGACAGCAGAACAGCTGTATGATCGCATGATGGTGGCACAAAAGAAGTTGCAAAAGGAGTTCCCCGGTGGAAGTCAGCATTTGCTCCATCACCCGTCATTGTCTTCCGAATACGTTCTCTATCGGAAGAAGAATAAGAAGTTTGGCCGGGTTCTAAAGATGTCTGCTCAACTCCAAGAGCGCTTCCCCGAATATCATCAAATGTTACAGGATTCTCTACCAATGACTCCCGATACAAGGACGTTCCACATACTTCTCTCCCACCACGCTCACCACACTGGCGATTTGCACAAGTTCATGGCCATTCTCAGAGATATGGAGCATACTTTCCGCGTTCCTCCTCGCGGTATGGTGTATCTGTTCTTGTTTGAAGGGTTTGCACGTCATGGTCGGCGAGGCAAAGGCTGGACGGCGGAGAGGCTACGGGATACTTGGGCTGCATTCCGACGCGCCTTGTACGAGTCGAGGGCAAGGCTCAATGATCGCCTTCCCCGGGACCAGATATCTTGGGAGAACCCTCTGGCGAAAAGCATGGATGTCGAGGTGGAACGCTCCCCTGCTGACATATATACACCGCTGCCATGGGGCAATTCTCGGCAGAGACAGAACAATGAAGCGAAAGGGGAGGATGAGGGAGAGAAAGAGGGGGAAGAAGAAGAGGACGAGGAGGAGTGGGATGAAGATGATGCCGACGAGGATGAGGTGGAGGGCATGTTCTCTAACACAGAACCGCGCAGCGACGCTCTTTACGAGGAGCTGGAGGAGCTTGAACGGCGCATTGAAAACGGTGTCTTTTTGGGTCGCAGGCTCATCACTGCAATTCTACGCGCCTTCGGAACCTGCTGTGACCCTGACACCCTCTTGAACGTGTGGCTACAGATCGAACGGATCTGGCATGTGAAGAAACGGAGAGCTTTGGATGTACTCGCTGTCAAGGAGGAGCTTGACAAGCAATTGAATAAAGCCCGGAGACTTTCCAATAAAGAGTGACCGGCTGCACAGGTGGTGAGTGATACATATGTGTATTATTAAATATACCCATCGAGCAGTGAGCCCTTTTGCCAGGCTCTTTCAGTGCTTGTTTCTGATGTTGTACTATACCATCGACCTCGAAACAGACTTATTCTTGCGCGTTTATGGGGAGTACGGCGGTCCCTGTCCTTATATTCATGAAGCAAATGGTCAACCGCATCATGTACATATTTTGTTATATAGAAATTCTTTAAAATAATATCTCAATTATGTGCACGAACTATGCTTGAAGTTGGTAGCAGGCTTTTCCCAACCCCGCCGCGTCAGTCACATGACTTCGCGATACTGGCTTTCCGAAGGACGCGCCTTCTCTGTACTCGGAGTAAGATACCTACACCCATGCGCCTACATCTCTGGCCACCCCGGTGCAGGTATCGTTGATTTAAAATGTTCTCGCGATCCAGATAAGAATTCTGGCCCATGATGCAGAGATGGTAGATCGCCAGCGACAGCGTCCCCGGGTGGATCTCGAATTCACGCTGCGGCGCGTCTTTGGGAAAACGTCTTTCCGGTTGGTTACTTCACTGCAGTTCTTCCTGGGCATAAAGGACTGATTGAGTGTTTTGGACAGTCCTCTTCAACGGGAGGTCATCCTCGCTGCTATCGAGGGCCACGATGTCTTCCTGCAAGCTGCGACGTCCTTCGGGAAGAGTCTGTGCTTTCAATTACCTGCCGTGGTCGGTCATGGCGGTATGTGAGCGTTAATTAGACCACAGCGGTATGCTAGACTAACACTATTCACAGTGACCATTGTTGTATCACCACTTCTTTCGTTGATGGTTAGGCTGGCTTCGCCCCTTCCTTGTTGTGTGATTTTCTAATCGGCTTGTACCCGCAGATGGATCAAGTCGCTGCGCTTAAAGCGAATGGCATCCCTGTTGCTACAATCAACTCTACTACTCTGCCATTTGAGAGGCAGGCCATACTCGAAGACCTTCTCTCAGGTCATCCCCAGACTCGTCTTCTCTACGTGACTCCGGAGCTCTGCGAACAGGACAGCTTCCGTCGACATGTCCTGACCATCCATGCGCAGGGTGAACTGAATCGTGTTGCTATCGATGAAGCTCATTGTATCAGCGAGTGGGGCCATGATTTTCGCCCTGCGTACAAGGAGTTATCTTGGTTCAAGCGGACTTTAAAGAATGTTCCAATAACCGCTCTCACTGCTACAGCTACTCCACGCGTCCGGTTAGATGTCATCAACCTTCTCGGGCTGGACCCGAAGACTTTGAAAACATTCAACGCGCCGTCTGCGCGACCAAATATTCACTATGAGGTTAAATACTTGACAGACTTTGCCTGTGATCCTACAGTTGCAGCGGACTTCCAAATCCAGGATATCCTGGCATGGCTAAAGTCCATTCAGAACCGGCGCGAAGCTCGCCTAAAAACAAACGGCGGTAGTGACACGGATTCTGCCGGGGTAAAACTTCCCCCAATATCTGGAATCATCTATGTTCCCCTTCGTTCAGTCGCCGAGAGCGTGGCTCGAGCTCTGTCTAGCTCCGGTAACAACATCTGCGCTGTCGCTTATCATGCGGGCCTGTCCAACGCAGATCGCAACCGAATCCAGAACATGTGGACATCAAATAATCCATTTCCTACCGGAGCATCTCCATCCTTCTCGATTATCGTCGCTACTACCGCATTTGGCATGGGGATTGATAATCCTCATGTTCGCTTTGTCATACACTGGACGCCACCTCGAAGCTTTGAAGGGTTTGTGCAAGAATCCGGTCGTGCTGGTCGAGATGGACGCGCTGCCGTGTCTATAGTTTACTACAACCTTCAGGAGCGAGACCGAGTCCTCGACCGTGTCCAGAGAGATGATAACCCGGATCCCAAGAAAAACGGTCGCCGTCGGGCCCTTCAAGATCCGGCTGCCAAGGAACGCAGCAAGCAGGCACGTCTGGAGAGCTTCCAGAAGGTGATCAAATACTGCGAGACCACCACGCGGTGCAGACACGAGATCATAAAGGAGCTCTCTGGAGATCTGGAGCTCGAGAGAATGGGCAGCACGCAAGAGAAATTGGGGGAGATCCACTCAGCAGATGGCATCTCTCCATCTAATGGTTCTCGTACATCGCCATGCGATTTCGCATGTGACTTCTGCAAGGAGGGCGCTGATGTCCTGACGAAACGAAAGGAAGAGATGATCAAGGCGGATGAGAACGCGCAGAAATACGCTGTATATCAGGCTGTGGACCCGACAATTGCGCTCCTCCAGATGATGTATCACCAGGGACCGTATTCGAGAGGGGGTGCGAGACCAGCGTGGTTTCCATGCGAGCAGTGTCTCTAGCCGGACACAAATGCCGGGAGTGTTTCACTCTGCAAGGGAAACCAACTTTTCCTAACTTTTATTTGCATATTATATGGTGTTCTTTGTGACGAGTACAGTAATGAAATGTTAATAATGGGGAATGGAGGACTTGGTCAGGTCGGGTCGGGTTGAGTCAATGCTTCTAGGATTTCCTTCCTGATTGTTCAGCATCATCGAATTATTAGAGGGTGGTAGTAATGGGCTCATTACTGTACATACATACTACATGCACAACATTGTTCCATGGAGCTGATACGAATAGGATATACCAAGGTAATAATATTCCGGAAACAGGAAGCCGTGCATGCGTTTAATTCTTCAAGTCACTAAGTACTATCTATAGTCACCAAACAGAGAGAAATATTAATGAAATAAACACCACCTCCAACATGATGAACATGATTAATTAATTAAGTACCAGAAGTCAAGTATCCTGCTACTAATAATAAGATGCATCCATAGTTAAGGCAATTAATAGGACACTTAGCTAGCAGAGCAGATCATTAGGCTAGGCTAGGTCAGACATAGACATCAACATGAATGAACATCAACATATATAAACAAGGATGGTCCAGAAAAAAAAGGTAGCAAAAGGTAGAAACATCTTTTTTTTTGTTTCTGTTTCTGATGTTTGTGGTTGGGCTCCTTTTTTTTCCCCCGATAGGAAATGATTCATTCAAGCACAGCACACAACAAACACTATACCACACCAACTAATAACTCACATTTGGTCGTTGTCGTTGGGCAAAGGGAAAAAAAATGACATACCGAAGAGAAAGAGGGAAAATAAAAAACAAGATATTTGTTTGTGTATCGATCCAGTTCGTGTTGCTAGCTCCTCCTCCCTTTTTTTTCTTTTCTCACACAGCTTTCCAACTTCCAACTTTTTTTCCCCCTTTTTTCCTTTTTTTTCTTACCTCCTCCTTCCCTCAACTTAAGCTACAAGTTGACAGAGAGGTTTTGTGTGAAAAATAAAGATCTACAGGCCAGGAGGTGGTGGCACCTGCATCAAAGAATAAATAGTCAATATAAACGCTGCAAACGGCTACATGATACGGCTACTTACAGCGTTGTAGCTGGTAGTGCCTGGCGGAGGTGGCGGAGGTGATCCAGCTCCAGGAGGCGGGGGAGGCGGCGGTGCTTCGCTAGATGGAGGCGGAGGAGGTGGTGGTGCCGAAGTTTGCGATTGCGATGGCGGCTGAGGTTGCTGTTGCTGCTGTTGTTGTTGCTGCTGTTGCTGGGCCGCCTGCTGGTAGTACTGATAATAGGCCAAGTAGTTCTGGTAGCCTCCATAGGCAGCATATGGATCGGAGCCGTAGTATTGCGCATATTGGGCGCTGTAGTCGGCCGCACTGGCTGCTCCTGGAGCCCCCGAAACACCAGGTGCTCCTTGGTTCGAAGGACTCGTCGACGTCGGAGGTGGTGACTGCTGATTCTGATGTGGATGCTGCTGTTGTTGGTGAGGATAGTTACCATAGCCGTAACCACCATAGTGACGATCGCGGCCATAGCCGCCATAACCATGGTGCTGCTGATTCTCTTTGAACCGTTGATACTGCTCCCTCACGTTCGCCAGAAGGTCCTCGCAGAGCTCCTTTGCAGCTTGAACGTCCTGTGGGTTGGGGCCGCTGTCACACGGTCAGCGGAGAAGGGTCAGAAAATCAAGTGATTACTTACGCGACATGCAAGTACATCGGCTCATCACTTTCTCTGTCCGTGCCGATCTCTCTGAAACCCGATCCACGACCTTTGATTTGGACCTTGCAGCCGGTCTTGTGCTGAATATGCTTGACGTAGGCACCGCCCTGGCCTACGACCTGAGCTCGAAGATTGAAGCCTGGGATCGGCTCCAGGTCAATGGGGATACGCTCTTCGGGCCATTTGCGCTGGTTGATGGAGTTAGCTTCCGTTGTCTCGGACGATGGGTATACTTAGTCCGTACACGACCAAATTCATCCCGTTCGCCATCATGCTCGCGTTGACGACGGAATCTGCGTTCATCGACGAGGTTGGGAAGTTCCTGCTTCATGAGCTCCTCGATGCGAGCAACTGCCTTATCGAGACCCTCTCTGGTCGTACTGGTAACATGAAGGTAAAGTGGCGGGTTCTGGATAGATATCATATAAGCTAGCTGCTATTTTAGACAAAGAACAGGGGACTCAACCTACCGATGGAGTGGCCAGAGATTTGTCCGGGTAATAGCTTCCGCGGGTCGTGACATCTTGACAATCTAATGAGCTTCCATTCCCAACAACGAAGAGAAAAACAATGCAATGCATGATATAGTATGGAGTGAGGCGTACCAGCGCCAGTTTCTTCTTTGATCTAAATGTCACGCAGCCGATGTCAGCAGATGCAAACGAGGGGATGGGAGATGCTATGGATGACTGGGTAAGCTTCGACCACCATCACAAACATGGTTCAAATTCAAGAGGGGGGGAAAGAGTACAAAAATAAAAACAAAGGAGATCAAAATATTGGTGGCGGCTGGAGTTGCGCCTGGGTGCCTGGGAATATCAGCAAGATATAACAGGAGTGTTTATTTACCATCTTCTGCGTGGAACCCTTGGTGAGAAGGTAACGGTTGCGCAGATCGTTCACTTCGATGTCCTTGATGTAATCTCCGTCCGCGATGTAGACCCCATCGTCGAGCTTAGTGGTGGTATGGCTTGCAGAGGATATGGGTTTGACAGCGGGGCTCGAGGTCTGGACCGGGTTAGTCACCAGCAACGAACATGGCTGACATCCGAGAATCAAGGAAAAATCGCATAGCTCACAGAACGGATCGGGGGCACGTCCACATGCTGGATTCCCTTCTTTGCCTGCAGCTGCGCATTGATTTTGGCTGCGGCGGCCGCTGGAATCGCAACGGGTCAGTGTCTCGCTTCGAAGCAGAACAGCATGGGTAAAAAGCCTTCTTACCTGCCGCTGCGGCCGGATCACGCGGCTTCTCGTCTCGCTTCTCGTCTCGCTTCTCCTCTTCTTTACCTGGACTGCGAGGTTCCCGACTCAATGGGCTCCTTTGGCGAGTGGAATCGGACTGACGAGATGACGGCGATCGTGAGCGGCGATCGAACCTCGACTGGCGACGAGGCTCAGGCTCGGTCTGGTCGAAGCGAGAGCGCTTCGCACGGGGCTCCTCGTCACCCATCGTGATCTGATGCGCTTGAAAATGGCAGAGCGTACACAGTAGTGGGATGCCGTATCGCTGCCAAGAGGGGAGTGAGAGCTTCAGGGCAACAAAAAAGTTGACACTAAAACAGTTAGCTGACAAGAACTGTGGACCAAAGAGGAAAAGCGCCAAGGCGGAGGAGAGCAGCAGGACGTGAAGCTGGTAACCTCAGGTACCCAGGGCCCTGGGAGGCGCCTACCGAGCACTGAGATCAGCAACTAAGGCGAACTGGCCGACGAGAGGAATGTCTGATTGGCCAAGACCAGAGGATGTCTCGATAGCATCCTCGAGCACGGCGTTGCGTGGTCGTTTCACGCCGCCCAAACGAATGGCTGACTTCGGAGTTCTGGGGTCGACTCCGGACTCAGCGGATGGTATGTAACGTAACTCGATTACCCGCTGTGTACTATACAGTTCGACCCCCATTTGGTAAGGGTTCGAGAAAACATTCTCATTTCGCAGCGGATTTGGGCATCTTTCTACTTTATCGACATTGTGAATTTTCTACCATAATTATGCACATCTAACCATGCTCGTTTCCTTTTCCACCTACACCAGGCGGCCTGGCAGCTATGTCTTTTTGCCTTGCGGAGGAATTCAGCCACGGGGTCGTGTACCGTATCTTACCCCGGCCGTACGCCCCGTGACGCGCAAGCCCCGAAGTCGGAAGGCAGGCTAAAAGTTGACTCGTCTATCAATCGTCTCGCCGCTCGCCGACTTTCTTTCTCTTTAGCTCTTCTTTGACTCACTCTCGTCTCAACCATCGATTGAGACCAGATAGCGTCTTTCGCCTGCCGCTTTCTGCAGGCCAGGGAGGGAGAATCAATCTCCTGAACCACCCTGCCATGGCTTTTCGCCGTGCCCTGGCCCGCCCAGCGGCCTCTGCGCCGTTGATATCGTCCTCCGCCAACCCGAAGCCGGTGCCTCGCTTCCAAATTTCGCCGCGTTCTCCATGCCGGACGACATCCAGTTCCACGTCTGCTCTTGCGTATAAAGCTTTACACCGTCGTTCGCCGCTCAAGCTTCCCGCTTCCGACCATGCTCCCCAGTGGAACGCTCCCGCGGCAGTCTCGTCGATTCTGTACGAGACTCCGCTGCCGCCGACGAATCCTCCCAAGCGCCATATTCTGAACTGCCTCGTCCAGAATGAGCCTGGTGTGCTCTCCCGTATCTCGGGGATCTTGGCTGCTCGAGGCTTCAACATCGACAGCCTAGTGGTCTGCAACACCGAGGTCGAGGATCTGTCGCGCATGACCATCGTCCTGCGCGGACTGGACGGCGTGGTCGAACAGGCTCGTCGCCAGCTGGACGACCTCGTCCCCGTCTGGGCTGTCCTGGACTACACCAACGCACCCCTGGTGCAGCGCGAGCTCCTCCTGGCCAAGGTCAGCATTCTGGGACCGGAAGTCTTCGAGGAACTGCTCCAGCACCACCGGGAGATGACTTCGGAAGAGGCACCAGAGAAGAGCAAGGAGAAAGGCAAGGAGGATCCAGATGCGAAACGGGAGAAAGAGAAGATGACTGCTTCCCTTTCAGACACGGACTTCCACCCGCGGAACCTGCCTGCTAGTCAGGCCCTGCGGCACAAGCACGAGCACCTGGACGCCATCACCCGTCTTACTCACCAGTTTGGCGGCAAGGTGTTGGACATTAGCACGAACAACTGCATTGTTGAACTGTGAGTATTCCCCTGCGGACACGAAAAGCATCACGGAGAGTGACTCATTTTTTTTCTTTCATCAAACAGGTCCGCCAAGCCATCCCGTATCGACTCCTTCCTCAAGCTGATCGCTCCGTTCGGTATCCTCGAGTCCACCCGTACCGGCTTGATGGCCCTGCCTCGTTCCCCTCTGAGCGACCCGACCGAAGAGGTGGAAAAGGAGGCCGCCGACGTTGTCGACGCCAGCACCCTTCCTCCGGGTTAAACAAACATTTACTAGCTAGCTGTATTTCTTACAAGTTTCATTGTCTTGTCTTGTATTTCCCGTGTTGTAGTCTGAATCTCATTGATCAGCCATCAATCAGTCAATCAGTCAGTAAATTACAAATTGCATGTTTTACTCTCCAAAGAAGTAGTATGCATTGCGAAGTCTTGTCTTTTTTTTTTTGAAGAACGAACAGATGATGTCTGTTTATCTGTCTGTCCGTCCTTTATTCAGTGAATAAATAAATGATATGGTATGATATGGTATGATATCCGTTCTCTTCCGGAGATATATTCATTGATTCGTAACGCGATCTTCATCTAGCCATAACTAAACGAATTCGACACAACACAACTTAACACATAAACCAATCCAATTCAACAAATTCTTTCTTTCTTTTTTCGTTGTATAAAGCAAGAAAAAAAGGGTAAAAAGGACCTCGAGCCCAAGGAGGTACATAGGAGAAAAACCGAAAAGGGAAAAAAAAGGTCGTTCCAATCAACGCCACGCAAGTTCAAACTCCTTCAACAATCCCACAAGCCCAAAAGACAGTGATTCTCGTGACGAACGTGAGACAGACAAACAGACAGATATCCTCATCAAAGGGGGAAAGAAATTGGATACCAAGACTCCAGACCGGATCCAGGCGACAAGCTAGACTAGACTAGATTAGATTCTAATTTTCGCCCCGATCCCCTTACCCTGGTAGAAAACGAGGGTCGAATACTCGCCGATCCTAACGCCGACTTTTGCCTCTGCGTCCATCCGTAATGTGCCGCCCAGCGCTCGCCGGACGGCGTCGTAGCCTACGCCGTTCAGATCCAGGTCCACGGGGAGGCGTGGTGTCTGCGAGACACCCGGTGGAACGGCAAAGGGCTGTCGGTAGTTGATGGTGCCGACGGGTTCTGTGTGGTTGTATAGCGCAACGGCGTCGACAGATGTGATGTATATTGTGGTTTTGGGAAGCGGGGATATCAATGTGAAAACGGCGGTGGAGGACCATACGTGCAGCTGTTATCACACACCATTGTCAGCCCCTCTGTTATGGAATCGATCCATGGATGTGAGAGTAAAGTTCTTCAAGATACACAAATATTCAGCACAGACAAGAGGGGTGTACCCCACCAGTACAAATTCCGTTGGAAGGTATCCGAGATCAGATCAAGAGACGGTGTTGATGGGAGAAGACAGTACCGTTGCATCTTTGATGAAATGCGGCTTGCCATCATCCTCCCCACCAGGCTCTCCGTCGTCACTACCAGGCATGTGAAGCTTCGGAACCTGGATCTCGATTTGGATGTTTGACAGCGCTTGCCCGAGGTCAGGCAGTCCTGGGATGGAATCCTTATGGCTTTGAAGTGTGACCGTAGTGTTGAACCCTGCAAAGGTTAGCGTTACTCGATTTGTCCAGAAACTTCCCAAGACACAACACACGAACCTGAAATATATCGAGAGATCAAGTCCTGCCCAGCAGTCACTCCAGCTTCTCCACTACAGCCCAATGGGTCCCAGAGTGCCTGGATGTTAACGCCTGCGTTCTCACCGGGCACAACTGACAGATCTCGGGCAGTAAGGTGCGCGACAGCTGTTCCATTATATAAGAGCAAAGTATCAACGAAGGGGATATTCGCTGAATATTCCGTAGGATTCGTGAAATTAACGGTAGCGTGCAGTAGCAGCGTGGAGTCGGAACTGTGCACGACTCTGACGGACTCTACTCTGGGATCTATATCGCTGACAGAGCCGCGGAATGGAGCTAGGCGTTCATTAGCTCCTACGTATCTATGGAACTGTTGAGAGATTCCCTATTAACCCACGTTTAACTTTGATCTTCCCTTGAGCTGGGATGTCGTGTATAACGAATCGTCCCAGGGCAGTTTTGACCTCGCCGTCCACCAATGCATTCACGCTCAACGTAACGGGCTGTTGTCCAAATATCAAGGCCTGGACAACCTCGGTGAAAACGTCGTCATCAGTGACTTGTAAAGGCCCGTCTTTGATGTCGAAGGTCACTAGCAGCAGTGGATGGTCACTGGACGTATCATTGACACGAGAAGCATTCGCAGCCTGCCACTCGCTCAGGTCGAGGAAACCCAGTTTGTCCCCCTTGTAATAAACATCTGCATTCGAACGGACGCGTGGAATATCCACGACAAAGTTCATTTGCTTCGGTAAGTTTATCAGGACTGTGACCAGTGCAGACACTCTAGGCTGCGACTCGGGTGTCCCCGGTTCAGCGAGGGGGTCGGGGAGTGAAAAATGCACGTTCGTCATGGAGAAATTCTGAATCAACTGGCCAAATTCATGGCCGGTAACCGGTACCGGAACCGTCATACTCTTCATCAGATCAACTATCCAGGAGGGAGTGTCCGGAGACGGTGCGTCCGCCCCGCGAATATAGATGGTGGTCTGAAGGCCTTGGATGTAGTTCGCAACGATCACGTCAAGCGGAGAGTCCTTCTTGCCAGGACACGCAGTTGTCAACTCGGCAGGAAGCTTGTGAATCAACCCATGGACATCCACAATGGCAGCCTCTTGAGGCTGCACATCGACGACATCTGTGGTGGCATCTGCCACTAGGATATATGGATCTCCTGGCGAACAGTTGGGCACCAGAATATCAAAGCCAAGAGGCGGCACGGTCAGCTGCAACGCGTAGTCATTCGAGATGCTGACTGACACATCCACTGCCATGGCATTCTTTCCATTGTCATGCACGTTCAACTTGGTCACATTGACGGCTGGGAGTTTTGGGATATCATCGTCTCCGCCATATTAGCCTGCATCGAGCAGATGGACGAGGATCTTGAGCTTACCGTCAAAGGTCAACGTGTCGGAAATGACTTGAGTACCTAGATCCAGCAACCCCGACTTGAGACTCACAGATGCGGTCCCTTTGATCCGCAGCTGACCAAGCCGTCCTTCCAGCCAGTCGTTTGCAACTTGACGAATGCGTGCAACGTCGCCCAATTGCAGATCCGTCAAGACATCAACTTGGTTCACGTGGCCATCTCGGATATTCAGTTTCACTGAAGGCAGGGACGCCGTGCCAAGGAGGACATTTCCGTACTCTGGCAGATAGATTTGCACCTCCGTCTCGTCCGTCTCTATTTCTCTAGCAATCCACGTCGCGAATCGACCCAGGTCCCGCACGGGCTTCGACTGCACACGAGAACCGTCGAGAAAGAACTCGCCCTGAACCCTCGCTCGTACACCAGAAAGGGTGGCTGAATCGATGGATATCTTCTGAGGCTGAAACACTGCTGCCTTCTCTGCATACTCCCTGACCGCAGACGGAGTAAGAAAGCCGAATACAAGTATGAGCAGCACGGCCACAGTGAGGGATGCGAGTGCCACAAACGTGGGCCATGGACGACGGCCTTTTGCTGCATCGTAGGGCGTCGCCGAAAGGGGATCACGGGATGTGGGCGATAGGGATCTGTCCTGCGTTTCAGTTCCGTATCGGGCCAGATCTTCATCTCGACGTTGGAGGAGAGGAGTTGACTCGGACGAAAGCTCGAAGGATCTCGAACGTTTCCGTCGAAGGTTTGATTGTGCGGAGTTGGAGGAGCCTGGAGGTGGAGGCGGAGAGGATGGATGAGGAGAGACATGTCTCAACTCGCTGGACGCCCTGTCCAGCAGAGGCGTGGTGGACTCGTCAGCCATGGCGGGCAGAGATGGTAGGAGTGTTCTTTCTATTCAAAGCCGGCCTGCCCCTATCGAGCAAAGGGAGGACTCGAGATTCATAGCATAGAGAAGAGCCGATGGATCACAGCAAGACGAGAGTAGGAGTTCTACCCCGCATGCCACAGCAAATGCTACATGCCGGGGTGAAACGCAGACCGCAGGAGAGAGTCAGGGACTGCCTGACAGTGCTCTAGTAAAACACTGCCAGCTTTCAGCTAGACAACGAGTCTGGGCCAAGTCGGCGACGAGAGCATGGCGCGCGGAGATGACGTTTCCGCGGGCGGTCAAGGGCAGCGGAGCCGCTGATTAGCTGCGATGGCTCGGGAAAGACAACCTTATCAGTAGCACGAACAATTCGCTGATCACCGCAGCTCCTCTTCTCCATTGACTCACAACGGCCCCCTGTTCCCCCCTCTCTCCCCCTGACAGTCTTTGAGCAGTTGCAGGAATTGGGTTGCAAGTGAATTACCATGGCTGGAAGCCTCAATGCCACCGTCCGCGCAGGATTGCGAAATACGGCGAGACTAACGAGGTCTCTACGGGCGAGCAAAAGCCCGCTTCTTCGAGAGTACTCGTCTGCTACCACGCCTCCAACCTCCCCCTTTGCTCCTCGCCACCTTCTTTCCATTGCGGATCTCACTCCGGCCGAATTCACGACCCTGGTTCGCAATGCAGCCTCACACAAACGCGATATCAAGTCCGGTTCTATATCGAGGAACCTCCAGGGGTCGTTGTCGGGGAAAACCGTGGCCATGATGTTCAGCAAACGGAGTACCAGGACCAGGATCTCGACGGAGGGAGCGGTGGTACAATTGGGCGGCCATCCCATGTTTCTGGGGAAGGACGACATTCAGCTGGGAGTCAACGAGTCCCTCTACGATACCGCCGTGGTAGTTTCTTCCATGGTGTCTTGCATCGTGGCTCGAGTGAACAAGCATGAAGAAGTCGCCGATCTGGCAAACATTCGACGGTGCCGGTGATCAACGCTCTGTGCGACAGTTCCACCCGCTTCAGATCATTGCGGACTTCCTGACCATCTACGAAAACTTCCCGAGCCACGCTTCTGCCGGTCTGTCGAGTCTGGGACTGAACGGGTTGAAGATCGCATGGGTGGGTGATGCGAACAATGTCTTATTCGACATGGCCATTGCGGCCGCCAAGATGGGGGTCGACCTGGCCGTGGCCACCCCCAAGGGCTACGAGATTCCGCCTGCCATGCTTCAGATCATCGAGCAAGCGCGCTCCGGTGCTCCCTCCCCGGGCAAGCTTACGCAGACGAATGTCCCGGAAGAAGCGGTCAAGGATGCAGACATACTGGTGACGGACACCTGGGTGTCGATGGGACAGGAGAAGGAGAAGGCGGAGAGGATGAGGGCTTTTCAGGGTTTCCAGATCACGTCGGAACTGGCCAAACGAGGAGGTGCCAAGCCCAATTGGAAGTTCATGCATTGCCTGCCGCGGCACCCAGAGGAGGTGAGCGACGAGGTCTTCTACAGCAATCGTTCTCTGGTCTTTCCCGAAGCAGAGAACCGATTGTGGGCGGCGATCTCAGCGCTGGAGGCATTTGTTGTCAACAAGGGGAAAATTGAGTAGAGGAAGACTCATGACATGACAGCTGGAGTTGGGGAACCCAAAAAAAAGTTTGTTATCTTTCTCATGACGGAAAATCGTCGTTGTACAGTATTTCTTTTTCCTGTTTTGCATTGACAGAGCTATCTGAGAGAAACCACGTTAGAATCAGTGTCTACTCCTGAAGATCGAACTGCAGCGTATTTGTATCCTTATTCACGGGGAGGACAGTGTATCCAATACTCCAGCTCAGGCCTACAGATTGGCCAATCAAGAGCTTGTCAACAATTTATAATGTGACAACCCGCAGTGGACACAAAACTACCGCGTCCTTACCCGAGCCTTGGTCCTCTAGCCGATGGTCTCCTCCTCCAAGCCCTCGGGTATCGAACCAAGAAGAATAATGGCCAGTGATCATATCCACAGGCTTCAAACTCAATCGCCGGCAGTCTACAGGATCAGACTGTTCCACAATGTGTCCGGGTTACGCAAGTTCTCGGCCCCGCTCGGAATTCCCGAGGGGTGTACAGTACGGAGGGAACAAGGTCTATAATAAGACTGGTATACTCTGACTTGCCTCGTATGTATACAGGATCTTATTGCTAGTTGATCGCTGATTGACGTGAGTAAAGCTCCTCGTGATCAGTTGCCGTGTTGAGGTCTAAATCAGGGCGTGAGCATTCACTGTTCTTGCCGTGATATCTAGCTCTGAGATAGAGGTGAAAAAGAGGAAGAAGGAGGATCTTTGAGCGTACAAAATGGGCTTCGAAAACCAAAGAATAGCCATCATCGGAGGCGGCTTAGGAGGCATGTCCTTCATCAACGCCGCCCTGCACGTAGGCCTCACCAACGTCCAGCTCTACGAGCAAGCGGCCCAATTCAGCGAGGTCGGGGCGGGCATCAACATCACGCAGAACGCGAATCGCATTCTGGACAGGTATGGTCTGAGGGAGAGCATGCTGAAGAAATCCTCCCGCAACCTGCCCTGCTACATGGAGTATCGCAACTACCGGACGGGCGAGTACCTGGGCCACATCGACGAGTTCGGCGAGCCCCGGGCGCGGTTGCTGCATCGCGCACACCTCCTTGAGACGCTGAAGGAGCGCGTCCCGGACTCGGTCCTCAACCTCAACAAGCGGCTGAGGTCGATCAGCAAGACTGACGACGGCACAGCGTACCGGTTGTTCTTCGAAGACGGCACCTCGACCGAGGCGGACATCGTGATCGGGTGCGACGGCATCAAGTCGGTCGTGCGACGGGTAATGGGCATCACCGACTCGCCCAACTATTCCGGCCAGGTCGTCTACCGGGGCTTTGTGGACTACAAGGACCTGCCCCCGGCGACAGCGCAGTTGTTGCGCAAGACGGTCAATTTCCGCGGCCCCAAGCGGCACGTCTTGATCCTGCCCATCGGCAACGAGGAATCGCGCACGGCCAGAGCGGCCATCATCGGGTTCATGACCGAGCCGCTCGAGGCCTGGAAGTCGGAGAGCTGGATGTCCCGGTCTCCCAATGATGAGCTGGAGGCACACGCCAAGGACTGGTGTCCGGCCGTGCAGCACATCATTGCAGGACTCCGCAAGGGATCCCCGGATAACAAGATGATGAAGCAGGCTCTGTATGTGCGCGACCCGCTGGACAAGTGGTACCAAGTGAACGACAGCAACAAGGCGTCGGGGATCATTCTTCTGGGTGACTCGGCACATTCCACCCTTCCTCATCAAGGTATGATAATGCCTTTTTCGTTTCCTCTGGGTCAAGGTTTCTTCTCACTCCATCTAAATTTAGGGCAAGGAACCTGCATGGCCATCGAGTCCGGCATCGCCCTCGCCACCATCCTCAAGTACTGGAAGGCCCAGAATCATGACCTAGGCGCTGCATTCCAGTTCTATCAGGACTTGCGCAAGCCTCGCACCGACCGGGTCACCCGGACGAGTTACGAGGCGGGCAAGCTGGCCAGCTCCGACAACCCGGATCAGCTGGACGAGATGTTCAACCCCGAGGTGATCCTGGAGCGCATGCGGTGGATTATGGAGTACGATGTCCTGGAGGATCTACGGTCCAGGAATGCATCTTGCCAGTTTCTGGACTTGCCGCAGGACTATGGCCAGCTTCGTTCTACGCTGTGAACGGAGCAGTTGGGCCTAGAGGTTATTTCGACGTTTTCCTGGACATGCATGAATGCATACATACAGGGTACATTGCTGGTTGGAATCTTCCCTTCTCATTATTAGCATCAATCTTCATTACATAAATAAATACAGATTCAAGGACATTTCTGGACTCATGACATGTGGACTCGTTCGTTTGGAACGAGCACTATAGGAGAATGAAGATGTTTCTTATCCTGCTGACCTCACCTCCTACAGACCAGCCTTGAGTTTAGGAGTGTCCGCAATCCTAAACACGTACTTCACCGCGCTGGCCTTGCCATCCTTGAGGTCTTGCAAGGCACCCTCCACCCCTTCCAGACCATTCTCCCGCACCTGCGTTGGATGTCCCGAAAACCACCCGTCTTGCAGTCCTTTGGCGAAATAACGGAAGTACACGTACCCGAGATCCCGTTCCTGGTCATGTACGCTGCCGACGAGCGTCAGGCTGTGGTGCACGGTCTCCGGGAAAACGGACTTCTCGTAAGGCAGGACGAAAGTCGCACGGCCGTGCGGGTCGATCACCTTGGCGATATTCTCAACACTGCCCTTTTCGGAGACCGCATCCAGGACGTAAGGGGCCTGGCTGACGTTGGCCGACTGCTGCAGCGCCTGTTTGAGTCCCTCGACGACGGCGTCGGCCCCCCCGCGGTAATCAACGATGGTGTCGCCCTGAGAGCGGTCAATCAGCGTCTCGACGTAGGAAGCTCCCTTGCCGGCGACGACGATGAGCGGGTGGATGTTGGCCCGGCGAGCGAGCTTGATTGCGAAGGCTCCGACGGCCGAGGATCCGCCGTAGATGACCAGCGGCGTACGGCTGGTGGCAGGAGTCCAGGGGTCGGGAAGTCCCAGGCGGGAGAAAAGTCCCACGACGGCAGTAGCAGCTGCTAGTCTAGGCTTTCGTCAGTAAAAAGGGGTATATTTACTTAATTTCTGGTCGAGAGAGGTAGACGTACGGGATCGTTGCAGCTTCTGTAGTTGAGTTAGTACAACATCAAGTACCAAGAAACTATAGAGTTGTAATAGGGATACAATCGTTGAACGGGGTACATAAAACACATAGGAGGAACATGAACAGAATAATGATAATACTAACCCTCAAAAGACGTCTTCTCGGGAATATGGAAGGTCGTATAGTCCCAAGCAACGGCGTACTCGCCATAGCTTCCATGGGGAGTGCCCATCTCATGAAAGGCAGCAACTCGATCACCGGGCTAGAAGACAGGACAGTTAGCATCCCGTCCTCTTCAGGCAATTAATTTGTTCCGGTTGAAAAATACGACATCTAGTGATATATAATACCCACTCACCTTAAATTCAGTCACATTCTTCCCAACCTGATGCACAATACCGGCGATATCGTCCCCTTCGTTGATTGTCCGGCCCGTCCACTGCGGCCGCTTCCAATCCTTCGGGTTGCTGCCAGACACAACCACCTTGATGACGACCTGGTGGTCGTTGGGGGTGGGGATCGGAGACTCGACGATCTCCGTCCGAGGGCCCTTGTGGACGATGACTTCGAGGGGCATGATGGAGAATTTTTATTTATTTATTTATTTATTTCGTTTTGCTCTGTGGGGATTAGAGTACAGGAGTTAATGCACAAGAAAAGATTGATATTGATTAATACAGCGTACTTTTTTCCTGAAGAAAAAAAAGTAATGGCGAGAGAAAAGGAGGCATGGAAATCGAGAGAGTGGGGTTCTATATATGGCCATTGTTTATTAATAATATATCAGACTGATCGCACCTTCCCCTCCTTTGGCCATTATTAATTGACACTGAATATTGTTCGCTCGCTTACCAATCTGTCTGTCTGTCTGTCTATCGTGAGTTGCGCCCTCGATGACGAGCAACCCTGTGTCACACAGTGGCATACACACCAGCAAGACAGTATAGACAGGGCCTGGCGTATTATAAATCAGGTCGTATGACGTAATCTGGAGAGTCTGAATGGCAAATTGCGGGATGGTAGTCGCACACAGCTAATCACTTGATTTTATCATATGGCTGTGGGATTGTTTTTCTTTTCTTTTTCTGGCAATGGCGATATGTAGCTTGGAGGATGCTTTAGATATGCTATCATCTGCATCTGTGGACAGTCACCTGATCTGAAATCACCTGATTCGAAATCACGAGCCGGCAGAGGCCTTCCTAATTGGTGCAAGCCAGGTCGGGAAGGTGTGGGGTGCAACGGCCTGGGGCAATTTCTCCGGTCGTATCTCGTAGTTGCATAGTAGCTCTGCGCTCGTTCATCCGTCAAGAATCCCCTTGAATTGTCCAAGATAACAAATAGCAAATCAATGCAGTTGGCATGCTAAAGAAGCCTCTTTGTCAGTCTCCGTGTCTGTGCTGCTGGTCCGTGACCAGCAACTAAGATCAGTACCCAAGCTAGATTAGATTAGACTGCATTGCTCGGCTTCCAGGATGCAACATGTGACAGCGCCAGAACCTCGCAGCTGAACTGCCGGATTGCAGACGACCGCACCACTACCTGGACCGTCATGATTTAATCCACCTATACATACCCTCCGCGCTCTCTCCACTCTATGCAGAACCTCGAGCAGCATAACAATGGCTATGGATGTATGTTGGGTCTCTCGATGCCAAGATTGTTGCTAATCTCCTGTTGTAGCCGTTTCGACCTTCCTCCCGAAGCACGTTCCGCTCACGACGCTCCCATCCTTCGTTGAGCCACATTTCCCTCGCTCCCCTTACTCCTCGGTTTCCTATAGATGATTCGCCGCAGCAGGGTGACTCTTTCACTGACAGCCATGGCGACTATCCCCATCGTCAGCAATTCGCCAGAACCTCCTATCTCTCCAGCTCCTCGGTGCCAAGCACTCCGCCGATCCTCTCGCATTCTCGCAGTAGTTCTCGCACACGGCATTACAAGCGGAGCAAGAGCTCCAGTCGTGTCCTGAGTGACACGAATCTGTCAAGTCTGGGTGCGACTCTGCCATTGCACCATCATGGCGGCGGAAAGAAGAGTGACCGTTCTCCCGGAGCTGCACTATTGCCCGAGAGGACTACTCGTCGGGACTCCGAGTGGCTGCTACGAGCGGGCCTCGCGCTGGCCTCTTCAACTCGTGAAGAGAAAGGCCAGAGTTGGCTTGTCAAGCGAGAAAGCTCGACAAGCTTGGTCTCCGATGCAGACTACGACGACGACCGGTCCACGCAGCACGGGAGGAGTAGTCGCAGGCCTCGATCGGGCCTATCGACACCTGCTGCCCCCTCTAGGCGGGGATCGCGCTCCCGCGGAGCCAGCCGAGCGGACCTCTCCATGACCGCTTTGGATACCGTAAGCTCGACCCAACGGTATCAGTCCCGCAAGTCCAGTGCGGCGAGTGAACATCGCAACCTCGTTCCGGATTTTGTGGATGAGCGGATCCGGGCCGAGATGGCGTCCATCCAACAACGCGATGGCATTGAAGACGAAGAATCCCTTTCGGCGTTTGCCTCCGATTCTGAAGACGATCTTGATGAGACAGAGTTACAACCTCTGACACGGGAACACGGGTTTGGCCTGGGTAGCTGGATCGATCGACTTGTCGGATGGACACTCTTTGGTGTGGAGGAGGAATGGCCCGCGGAGCCTTCTGTGGATCGGGCTAGCCACGCTGTAACCTTTAGTGACAGCCAGGAAGCCCTCCAGGCAGAGGAGGCTGATGAGAATAACGATGATGACGACGATGATTCGTCTCTCAGGAATGATGAACTGACTCGGCCTGTTGAGAAGGCTGGGGATCAAGGCGGCTGGGCCGACGCGAGATGGTTTTTCCGGCTTGCAAGAAATGCCATTATGTGATTCTCACCTCGAGCTCTTGGCGGTTGTTGACTACCCACTGTCTTAGGACTGGAGATGTGAGACAGTGAGAGTACTGGAGCACTGGGTTGCTCTTCAGTCGACATTGGACGAATGACGATGCTGTTGGTTCCTCGCTGTTTGGTATCGGTGGGGTTGACACAACCTCATGCATGACTTCTTTTTGGGCATTTTCTGCCATCTAGTTGTTGACTACACCATAAGAGCCTGGTTTTATCCTCTACTCTTCTTAATCTGAAGATATCGACAGGCCGGTCTTTTTTTTTCTTTTTAGTGAAAGTGTTCTATACCTTCCATAAGTAGTCTGGGTATTGCTGGATGTGCTGACTGCAGTGGCTTACACTTACATTGCATGCATGCACTTAATTAATCAAACTCGCAGCCAGAGAGGCCTGATTTGTCGATCGGTCTACCTGCGTAAACGTACATAGGGCCAGAGATGCAACTAATGTCGCAGCCGCCAACGTTGCTCCGATTTTCCCTATCCACATCCCACGGACTGAAAATTGAGTTCGCAAATAGCCGCTGACATGGATCGGACGCTGAAGAATTTGTCTCTGGCGTCTCAATTATTTTTCCGTCCTGATTAGTATTGGGTTCTGCCATCCAACCCCCGCGAGCCAAGCGTACTGGAGGAGGGATGATGACGGCGGCGGTTAACCATGGGCCTCGATATTGTCGCTCTTCCTTTTTGAATTAATCTTGCATACAATTCATTCTTCACACCTTAGCATCAGCAGAGGACGGACTGTCTGCTGGGAGAGGAGAACAAAAAGCCCATCTGCTGGCATCCACAGATGGGGAACTTCATGGAACGCATGCGATAACAACGTTAGGTCAGATCAACCATTATCATCGATGATAGCAGGGACTGGAGAGGGGCCCGGGCCCCCTAACTATCTACATACTAACTAGAATTTGAGCGGGACCTTTTTTTTCATTTCCTCCTCTTTTGTTCGTTCGTGGCTGTTGCAAGAACGCCAGTGCTCAAAAATCAGCCCACGCCACGCCAGCCAATGCCCGCCCGGCCTGCTCACCGTCTGGGGCTCTTCGCACCCACCTTTCCCTTTCCCCCCGCCAGCGACGCCGGTAACTTTGACCAACACTGCTCTAGTCACATTCGAGAAGCTGAAGAAGTGAGCAAAACGGCCCGTGGGAGGCAAAGGCGCGCTTGGTCGTTGTGGGGCCCGTCGACTCGGACGCTTGCTTCCTCAGCGGCCTACTAAGCTGCGGTCCTTGCTGCTACGCCGGACGACATGGATGCCTCGTACTTTACTTTTCTAACTAACTACTATTAATCCGATTGACGTCAATGCAGACGATGATCGTGATCCTTATTCCTGTGACAGGCTGTCCCGGTGCCCGTTGATTTGCGCGTATTTTAGTCGACAGATCGGCACCATCGATATAGATCGCCCCCTTCCGTCAGGCCATCTTCCGATCGTATTTGTCATATCTTCTATTGCCTACCACGCAGGCGCGATATCTTAATTAATTTAATGCAGCCTGTGGCTTCGTCCGTCGCTTGGTGGCAGCAGATCAGAGGACCACAATAATACTACTATTCCGATTTCCATCATCGCCATGACGCCAGACCCTCAACCATCTTCGAATCCTCACGAGAACATTGAAGCAGATGTAGGTTTCCATTCTCCATTCCAATACTGATCCAGGACTGTTCTGGCGGCGTGACGCTGACCGGGGATCTCAGGATAACCATAGCGACGCAGACTCCGCGTTTGCGGGCTCGTAAGTGCCAACGGCTCCAAGGAAAAAAAAGGGCGATCTTTTCCAGACTGAGACATGGTTTCTGGGTAGGATTGGTGATGCCAGTTACACCTCGTCCATCTCAGCCAGCGTGAGGAACTACGTGTAAGCCCGGCCCCTTTCTCGAAGCTCGCACTCCCTCTTTGCCATGATTTGGTGCGCTCACGCCGACCAACAGATATGAGGTAAGACCCGTAATGAAATCACGGAGCTCTCGTTTTTCTTTTATTTTATGGAAGTTTCTGTCTAAAGCAACTTGCAGAATGGACGGCGATATCATGCTTTCAAGTCGGGAGAACATTTATTGGTGAGTTTGCCCAAATTCAGCCCCCCTGACAGCCCGTAAGAATTAGCTATTCTGTTTCCTGGATGTCTCCGCTGAACGCTTTTTCTTCCAGCCCAACGATGAACGTGAACAAGACCGGATGGACTTGGCGCATCATATCTACCTCATGCTTACTGGGGGCAAACTATATCTTGCCCCGATTGTCAACCCGCAGCGGGTTCTTGATCTAGGAACTGGCACAGGTAAATGGCCTCCCTTTAATACTGTCGGGCTTAGCACGTGTTCCGGACTAATTTCAATTATTTTCACAGGAATCTGGGCTATTGACTTTGCAGAGTAAGCGTTCATTATCCAACTCTGTCATGAATCGGCTACGTTAACATCAGTCAGCGAGCATCCCAACGCATTTGTGATAGGTACAAACCATTTCGATTAAGGCTGTTATTAAGACTGTTTTGCTAACTTGTCTGACCAGGAAATGACTTGAGTCCCATCCAACCATCATGGTACGCATCGCACATCTTTCCTTAGCTGAAAGGGAACACCGGCTGATATCCCATGGGACATGGCAGGGTCCCACCCAATCTCCAGTTCGAGGTCGATGACTTCGAGAGCGATTGGTCCTACTCGCAACCATTCGACTTCATCCACGGACGGGAGATGGAAGGCATGGTGAAGGACTTTGATCGCCTGTTTGCCCAGACCTACAAATACCTGCGACCGGGAGGCTGGGCCGAGTTCCAGACGATCGAGCTCAACTGTTTCTGCGACGACGATTCGCGAACCAAGGCGGCGGCGTGGGTCGCGTGGTCGAACAACCTGCACGAGGCGGCCCGGAGATTTGGGAAGAACATGCGGACGGTGCGCACGTGGCCGGAGAGGCTGAAGCGGGCAGGATTTCAGAACGTGCAGACGGTTGTATATCCGGTATGCAAAAACCCCATCAAACCGTCAAAGCCTCAATCCATGAAAGACTAATCAGATGTTTGTCTCCTAGTTACCATTCAACCCCTGGCCCAAAGACCCCAAGCTAAAGGAAATCGGCCGCTACCAACAACTGCACATGTACGAGGGCATGACATCGTACAGTCTACGCCTGTACACCAGCGTCCTCAACTGGAAGAAAGAGGAAGTCGAGGCCATGCTAGAAGAGGTGCGGAAAGTCCTCAAGGACCGAACCTGCCACATCTACACCATGGTGCATTTTGTCTTTGGGCAGAAGCCGGAGAACGCTACGTAGAACAAAGCACTCTTGAGAAAGAAAAAAAACGAAAAGCATGATGATGATAATAATATTATTATGATGGCAAACACACAAACACGCACACAAAAAAGTTGGTTTTGGTTTTGTTTCTTTGGTTCCTTTTTTTTTCGCTTCGATATACATACATACATACAGACGACAGACAAACATATACTAGTCTTGAATTGATAGATAAGTGAGTTATACGAATTTCATTTCTATCACTACACGATCGATTACTCCGTTCGGATATTACCTACTTACCTACTTAATTCGTCTACACGCAATGATAATGGTTGCCAGTCAATTCAATTCAATTCATTCTCACTTTCTCTCCTATGATAAACATGGTATCATGAGCTAGCGAGTTGGAAAATACGAACGGAACAACCAACAAACGCCCCGAGAATCGGGGAGGAAACAAACACAACATGTCTGGCCCTGCCATTTATTTTTTTATTTTTTCTTTCTCGATGCAACACCCACCCCAGATGGTTGCTCTAATCAAGTCAAATGGACTGCTGGGTCGAGGTTTCACAGGGATGGTGTGTGATGGTAGTACAAAAAAAAACGACAAACCAAAAAGACACCCATCCGAAATAAACAAATTCACAACCAAACCGATAAGAGAAGCAGAGGGGGGAAAAAAACGAGTGGGCGGATATAATAGTAATCATAACAATAATGAACCAGAAATTGAAGAAACTGTGCTGGTCGCTAGCCATCTAGCTGATTTGATAAGAATTGAAACCACCCTCTCCACGGAGTGTGGACCCGACCCTAGCAAGTAACCTGACCCTTTAAAAAAAGATCGAACACAGTATAACGCCGGCCAATCTCAGAACTCTCTAAGCTCATGCAGAAGGTATCATGATCGTATCGTAAGAATTTTGACCACCGTCAATTTCGAAGCGTATTCATGCGGCTGAAGGTGCGAAAATTTCGGGAGTTTCCAGGTTGATGGAGGTGTGAAAGAGGGCCGTCAAATTTGAAAAGAAGAAAATATATTTGTTAATTCACCACGGGCCAACCTTCAGAGGAACTCCAAGCCCGTATGTTCCCGAGAGGAGCTGCTCGCGGATGGAACCCGGATCGCTGGGAGGAGGACCCCCTGCACCAGGAACAGCTGATCCGCCCATCCAGCCTAGACTGGAGCTAAGCTCATTGACAGCGGCCTGCAGCTTGCCACCAGAAGTCTGGTTGTGTTTCGCCAGCTTTTGGTCCCAGCCCCCGTACTGCAGCTGAATACCTCCGCCACGCTTGGCCGCTTCTCGAATGACCAGAACCCATGCCTTGGCGATTTCGTCATACGCAAGGTCTCGGTCGATGTTGTGCTGCGGGGAGTCCCATCTGGGCAGACTGTGGATGATCTCCGTCGCGCCGTCCAAATAGCTCAGAGACGTGGATGGTTGAGTTTCGTTGGGTGGCAGGAAATGAGGTGTGAAGTCGCTCAGGGCGTCCAGCAAGTTGGAGAGATGCTGCCGTACCCTGTTGTATGCGTAGTCGGACGAGGGATTGCCACCCAACGGGAAGGCAGCCTGGAGGGTCGATTGGTAGTTGCGGAGGACTTGAAGGGTAGCAGCGACGCTCGGCCGCGGGGCCGTTTGGAGAACCTCGTCATTCAATTCGGGATGACGTTGGCACATTGACTGCACGAGGGAGCGTAAAGCATCGGTGTCTAGCGTCTCGAGAAGTCGGGGGAGGGAAAGGGGTCGCCCAGACACGTTGGGGCGAGCTCGTTTGACCTGGCGGTTCGGGAGGGGACGAGGCGTAAAAGCGGGCGAGCTGGTGGGAGAAGCGGACATGCGGACATCATGGTCATTGCTGTCATCTTCGGCCTTTCGCTTCCGATTGCTGGTAGGCTGGGACGGTGTCGACACTTGGAAGAGATGGTCTGTCAGCAGACAATTTGGAGCTGCGGAGGCGCTCGAAAAAAACCGAGAAAAAACGGCCGAGCATATATCTCAGAGACTTACTGGAAAGAGAGGGAGAGAAACGGGAGTGCTCGTGGAAGTGTGGAGGGACAGGAGGTGTGGCCACCAGGCTGTTCATGATGATGTGAAGGTACTGAAGCAGCCGGACAGCACTGCACCCGAGGCAACGAGAGACGCTGCTGTCCGCGTCTAGCCGGGACGAATGGAACGAAGTCGAGGCGGCAGGCCAGGACAGGAGCAGGAAGCACAAGGACTGACAAGAGTCGGCGAGATGGTAGTAAAAGACAGCAGAGCAGAGAGGCAGATGGGGAGGAGAGGAGAGGAGATGGAGATGGAAGGCGAAGGAGAAGCCCGACGGCGGCCGAGTTGGGCTGGTTGGGTGTCCGCCCGCCTGACTAAGGCACTAGCCAGGCTTAGCGGTGACAGCTGATTGCCGGGTTGCCCACCGCAACGTGAAGTCATCCGCAGAAGCCCCTCTACTTAAAATTCCCCTAATTTGGCGCTGCTCCTCTACGATCTCATTTGCGGATTCTTATGGTCATCAGCTATACTACGCTAGCGTCATGTCAAGTACTGTACAAATGCAATCGACTTTTCTGCAGTCTTCCCCACTATAGGCAGGACCTTCCCAATGACGCCAGAGTATGCGGCAACAAGACGAAAGAAGCATCAGCATGCCAAGAAATCCATGCCAAAAAAGAAAAAAATAGAATAAAAATGGGACAGGAAAGTAGGCAACCAGACATTTGTGCAGTGAATTACAGATACAGCGACTGTGCAGCAACAATGTCGCGCCGCACCTTGGTCAGCGCTGTCTCGAACTTCTGCTCCAGCTCTTCACTGCCCATGACTTTGGCGGCCTGCGCCATCTGCCGCAGACATTCCTCCAACCGACGGAACACCCGGATCAGATTGCCTTCGTAGACATCCGTCATTTTGCTGCGCTATGTTAGCCTGGTAGGAAAGATTAAAAATTTTTTTAAAAAAAGACACGTACCAGATCTCTGCAAACGACTTGCCGTTCGCCCACTCGTAGATCACCTCCATCAGTTCCCAGTGGAAGCTCTGCACGTACTCTTCTTCGTTGATGGCCAATTTCGACTCCATCGACACTTTGGCGATGATTCGCGCCTGCGCCTGGATCTCCTTGAGCGGCTTGAGCAGCTCCTCTCGGGTCAGTGCCGGCGTCTCCTTCGCCTTCTCCTCGAACACAAAACAGCTCAGCACCGCCGCACATTGCTCCGGGGTCAGCGAGTTGAAGAAGCCGTTGAACAGCAGCTCGCTGAGCATGAGTTCATCGCCCGTGCTGATCTCACAAGCCACCCGTGCCTTCAGCTGCACCACTTCCGCCTCGTTGATGAAGCCAAACCGCCGGAGCACCCGCTTGCGGCACTTCAGCTCCTCGAGCTGCATGATCGACATGGCTTCCGAGATCTTCTTCTTGATCTCCTTGATCTTCTTGCCCAGCTCCACCTTCTCCGCATATTGATTGTACAGCTCGGGCAAGCGAGGCGAGTTATGAAGGGGATTGGCCAGGAGCCGCGACTCGAGGACCTCGATTTTCTGCATTCGCCGTTAGCCGATGCGTCTTCAATGAGACGGAATGTGGGGTTGCCTACCCGAAGGAGCTTCTTGAACGACTCATCCTTGATACCCATGTTTTCAATGGGATCGAGCAGAGCAATACCGTCGGGGAACCGCCTTTGCACCTCCTCAAGGGCTCTCTTGACGCTATTCCGGGAGTCCACTGTCTGGACTTCCTTGGGAAGGAAGATTCGGATGTGAGAGATGGCTTGGATGCAGCTCAGCAGCACCGGCACCACCTCAACCCGAACTTTCTCACCGTCCTGAGGCGGCCGAACTCCCGATGGAAGGTCGCTGTGTGTCTTCGTACCCACCGAAGATCCATCGGCGATCTTCAACAGCACATCGACCACATAACTTTGATGGGGCGTGAACTCTTCCTTGGAACCTTTGGATGGCTTTCGTTGCTTGAAGTTGACGACCGCGCCCCAGCCAAAATCGTAGTCCAAGTACTTGATCTGCACAAGCCGCCCCGGCTGCAGGAACGGCAGGCAGTAGTTCGGGTGGCTGATCACGGCCTGCATGTCCTCCGTGAAACTGGCGAGCTGCTTTCTCAAATCATAATACTCCCGGATCGTTCCTTCATCAGGAATGTTCATGTTGGCTCGTTTGGTCTCCAATTCATGTAGCTCTACACGGTTGTTAGCAATAATCTTCTTCGATTCGGACGATGGTGGAATGACAGACCTTTCTCAAGCCCCGCCGCGTTGGCAGCATTCTGGAACTGGTAGAAACACCGCTCCAACATGAACTCGGGTGAGATACCTTCCACCCGCATGAGGTTCAGGATCATATTGTATCCCAGGTGGAAGGCGGAATTGAGCCGGTCCTGTTCGCCACGAACAATTTCCTTGGCCACCGCCGGGTCCATCTCCTCGTTGACCATCATGATCACAATACCCCGCTCGTCGAGACCTCTTCGTCCGGCACGACCAGACATCTGGATGAATTCTGATGGGGTCACCCAGCGCTGAGTGATGCCATCGAACTTTCGGACGCTGGTAAAGACCACCGTCTTGGCGGGCATGTTCAGACCGATGGAGAACGTCTCCGTCGCGAACAGGACTTTGATCAGACCTTCCTGGAAAAGAATCTCAATCGTCTCTTTAAGAATGGGGAGGAGTCCAGAGTGATGGACTCCGATGCCACGCCGCAATAGCGGCAGGATGTGCTGGATCTGGGGCAGATTCCGGTCCTCCTCAGACAGCATTTCGATGGCACTGTTGAAGACCTTGGAGACCATTTCCTTCTCCGAGTCGTCATTAAATGCCAATGAAGCCATCTGCAAAGCGGACGCTTCGCACTCCCGCTTGCTGAAGCTGAAGACGATCACCGGATTGTAGTTCTTCACCATGATCATCTTCACGATCTTGTAAATGTCGGACGGCCCTTTCGTGCCGCCTTTGTTGAGCTTCTTATCCTTGCCTTTGCCCTTCCTCTTGGCCATGGGATCGGCGGGATCATCGCCCTTCTTCTCGGCAATCGAGCTCATTGCTTTCTGGAAATTCTCCTCCCGGAACACTCCTTTCTCGTCAACAATCAGATGGATGCCATCAGCGCCAGCAGGGAAGAAGTAGTGCTGTAGCGGCGTGGGACGGAAATCCGTGTAGACGACGTGACACGGTTGGTTGTGCATCTTCGTGATCCACTCGGCAAACTGCATGGCGTTGGGGATAGTCGCCGACAGAAAGACATATCGAACTTTGTCTGGAAGAAGAATGATCGTCTCTTCCCAGACGACACCCCGGGCTGCACAACCGTTAGCCTGCCTATACCTGTCAGGTGCATTCATTGGTGCACTTACTCGCATCACGCATGTAGTGAATCTCGTCGAAGATGACCCATGCAACTTCGCGCATGATCTCCGAGCCGCGATACAGCATGGAACGAAGAATCTGGAAGGCAAGTCAATACACGCTGTCAAGCAACCGATCTGTAGAACGCACCTCCGTCGTCATTACTAGACATGTAGCGGTGGGGTTGATTGTGACATCGCCAGTCATCAAACCCACGTCTCCGAATTCCGCCGCAAATTCTCTGTACTTTTGATTGCTCAAGGCCTTAATCGGACTGGTGTAGATGACTCGCTGGTTGTTTTTCAAGCTCTGCGCAATGGCGTACTCCGCAACCACCGTCTTACCCGCACTGGTATGTGCAGAAACCAGAACACTCTCTTCTCTCTGGATCGACGCAATCGAGACTTGCTGGAACGGATCGAGGGTGAAGGGCCATGTTCTCGCCGGATTCTCGGGGGGCTTATGCTGGGAGATGGGAACGTATGGATAGTTCGGCGGGAGAGCGACTTGATGGCGAACCTGGTGCGACAGGACGACCGCAGCCTCCTCCTTGGTGGATTGAAGCCCGGCTGAAGCGGCCACTTCACGTTCCTGCTCCGTCTCGAAGGTGTCGGCCACTAGAGGTTCTGGTTCCTTCTGTAGTCGCTGTCGCTTGGCTTCTGGCTGCCCGTTCTCCGAGGGAGAAGCCTCTGCATCTTCTGTGTCACCGCCAGCGGCGGGCGCGTCAGGTAGAGCCTCATGGTCCTTTGCCTCGACCTCAGCACCATCCTGTTTCACGTCACCGTTGGCCTGTCGCTTCTTGCTTTTGTCCTTCTTCGGCCGCGGCTTGGCTGGCTCGTCAGAGGGTTTCACCGCCTGGGGCTGGTCCTCGAAGACATCGAAGAGGTCATCCATCTTGGCACGATCCCCGTGTCTGATCCGGGGAAGAACAAGGACGGCGATGGGTGACTAAGGACGGTGGGAACATTCGCCTCCAGCAGCGAAGCTCCGCGCGGGCGAGAAATTTCAGTTCCTTTTTGGGCGACACAGGCGCTCGCGAGTTCTGATTCGCCAGAAATCTGATGCTTGCAGGGCGCCGCGGCGGCTCTGTCACGTGACGGTGCTAAGGAAGGATCCGGATCTCCGCTGGGCTCATGCCACTCTGCCAGCTTCTGTCCGACCATCACCCAACTCGATCGTTCGTGTCGTTCTTCGCCCACGCTTCCAAGGTACATCTTCTGCGCGTTCTCGGCCTCAATTGCTGCTGACTGACTGTGTGGTGCAAGATGTTCGCTGCTTCTGCTGCCCGGGCCAGACTGGCCAACGCCCTCGTCACCCGTCGTGCTTTCTCGACCACCCGTGCCCAGCTCTCCAGCCCGTACCACTACGGCGAGGGCCCTCGCTCCAACATTCCGTTCAACCCTCTCACCCGATTCTTCTTCATCCGATACTGGGCTTTCATGAGTGCGTGATCCCAATTGGAATCTGTGGTCTCGTCAGGATGAGTGAACGACTGACCGTTGGCTGTGCAGTTACCGGATTCGGTGCCCCCTTCGCTATTGCTGGTATGTTCCTCGTCTACAGCACGCATTGCCTACGTCCCAATCTCTTTCTGACATGTCCGTTCTAGTCTGGCAAACCTACAAGAACCGCTCTTAAATTCGCGTGTGTTAAAATTGGTCTTCCGTGTCTTGGCTGTGCGGGAGATGGAGCGGCAATAGGGGTGTTGTAATAGACATCATGTACAAAGCTAGCAAGAAACATTGAATCCATCTACATTATCTTAGCTTCTTTCCTGGAATAACCTGTTTCTCGTAGTTGTGCTGTGATGCGCGATGTCAAGCTTGCTCCGGTGCATCTGAAATGTGGATGAAGTCATTGGTCGGTGGCTCTCCTCGGAAAATTAAATTTTGGAACGCCCGACTTTTTGATATTGGATCCCATCACCCAACGCGACCAGCAGATCTGGATAATCATTCTGTGAAGAAGAAGAGGAGGAGAAGAGAAAAAAATTTTTTTTCCTGTCCCTGCCCAGGAGGCCTGAGAGTCGACGTTGACAGTCTACTCATGGGGGGTGGGGTAAATACATAATAATTCTGGTAGAAGATGCGCAACCTGAAAAGCGTGCGCCTGACGGAGGTGCAGCTCCAGGGCGAGCTGCCACTGACCGCCACCGCTTGGGATGCGGCCTCAGACTCTCTCATCTGTACATTCGGGCCTGCGGCGGACAATCAGGCCATCGAGTTGAGAAGAAAGCGCCAGGATGCCCACTTTGCACACCCCGCCAGGCCCGAGGACTTGGACCTGATCGCGTCCTGGGACGCGCCATGTCCCCTACCGGACTTGGCTTGCGATCGTGTGCTGTCGCTGCAATATTTCGCAGACAATCTGACGGCGATCCTCGTTCTGGAAGGGGGAGATATTGTGATCGTCCGCGAGGATCCTCAGCCCGGCGAAGACAAAATCGAGATTGTGGGTTCCGTTGATGTCGGCATCACCGCGGCGGCGTGGTCCCCGGATGAGGAGCTGCTGGCGATTACGACCAGAGCGAACACCTTCCTCTATATGACGAGAGAATTCGAGAACGTTGCCGAGATTACTTTTACGCCGGAAGACCTGAAGCTTTCACGCCATGTCTCCGTGGGCTGGGGAAAGAAGGAGACTCAGTTCCAGGGCAAGAGAGCGAAAGCGCTGCGGGACCCGACGATGCCCGAAAAAGTGGATGAAGGCAAATTGAGCAGTTATGACGATGCCAGAACGACCATCAGCTGGCGTGGCGATGGTGCCTTTGTCGCCGTGAACAGCATCGAGACCGGCGTCCGTCGAGTCATCCGAGTCTACTCCAGAGAGGGAACTCTGGACAGTGTTAGCGAACCGGTGGACGGCCTCGAAGGAGCTCTGAGCTGGAGGCCAGCGGGCAATCTCATCGCTGGCATTCAGCGGCTCGAGGACCGGATTGACGTCGTGTTCTTTGAGAGGAACGGGCTGCGGCACGGTCAATTTACTCTGCGACTCTCCGAAGAGGAGCGAGCGACTTGGGCGTCAAGTATCCATCTGGACTGGAATATCGACTCTACCGTGCTCGCCGTCAGGTTTCGAGATCGGATCCAGCTGTGGACCATGGGCAACTACCACTACTACTTGAAACAAGAATTGCCAATCGTGGTCTCGCCCGAGCAGCCGCTGGCCTTTTCGTTCCGCTGGCACCAGGAAAAGACCTTGCGCTTCGTTGCAGCTTCACCCTGTATGGAAATTCCTCGGATTACATGCCTGAGCGCACACTGACTCTTGCCTAGGCTCGATTCTAGACGCAGATTGGGTTTTTGATGTCTCTCACGGCTCTACAACTATCCCTGACGACGTCGGTGCTGTCGCTGTCATTGATGGAAGTAAGTCAATGCTCCGAAATCCATGAAATAATGCCTATCTAACGGACCTTTAGGGATTCTGAAGTTGACGCCGTTGAGACTGGCGGGAGTGCCACCTCCGATGGCCCACTGTGAGATAACTGTGGATTCAAATATCGTCGATGCCTGTTTTAGTCGTTCAGGCTCGCGGATCGCAGTTCTCACGAGAGATAACTTCTCGGTGTTCGCGTGGTCGTTGAAGAAGAGACCCGTTCCTACGCCACTGCTTGAATCAAGCTATCCTTTGCCAGAAGCAGCCCAAAGCCGACCGAGACAGATCGCCTTCCTGAACGACAATGAAGTGTACATTTTGAACCACTTTGACCCGTACCAGCGTCGAATTGAAAGAACGACGTTGGAGACCCGCGAGACAAAAGTGGTATATGAGGCGGCAGAAGCAGAGCATTTCCATCGCATTTTCCCAAGCCTGGGCCATGAGAAACTATGGTTTTCCAAGTCTTCTCGTGCGGGAGTGCCGATCTCCTATTCCTATGGCGTCCCACGTTCCGGGAACGAGTTTCACATTACTGTCTGGGATAATTCCCCAGGCGTCGACACCTTCTGGGCGGAGGCGATTCAGATTTCTGATGATGAGGTATGGCTCTTGAAATCTCCAAATACCTAGAAAGGTGCTGACGGAAATAGGATGCTTTGGTCACAATGTCTAGAACCGGCGCTCTTTACGCAAATAAACGCCTTTTGGCTAAGAACTGCTCTTCCTTTATGCTTACGCCAGCCCATGTTGTCTTTACGACCACCCAGCATCTCATCAAGTTCGTCCACATCACCAGCGTCGAAAGTAAGTTTCTTTCATTTCTGGCGGGTTATATTCAGCTACTAACTCCTCATCGACAGACATGGAGGTGCCCGAAGACACACCGGAGACCGATGAGCGGTGCAGAAACATCGAACGAGGCGGACGCCTGGTGACGGTGACGCCGTCATCATTTGCTGTTACGCTGCAGATGCCGCGAGGCAATCTGGAGACCATCTACCCGCGGGCACTTGTCCTGGCCGCCATTCGCAGCTTCATTGACAGAAAGGACTATCGCTCGGCGTACCTTGCCTGCCGAAGCCAGATGGTGGACATGAATATTCTCCACGATTACGCACCGAATCAGTTCATGGAGAATGTTCCGTTGTTTATCGAGCAGGTCAAGAAAGTGGAATTCATCGATGAATTCCTTACCCGCTTAAAGTGCGTTTCGTCTGAGATTACCTAATTTCCAGTGCTAACTCCTGCTAACTTCGATTCAGGGAGGAAGATGTGTCTCAAACATTGTATAAGGATACCTTGAAGGCGTCCAAGGGCGAGGCCGGGGCCGCCGCGCAAGCAAATATCCAAGCGAAGGCCAACAAGGGAAGCAAGGTCAACCGCATCTGCGACGCTTTCTTGACAGCCCTCAGAAACAAGATCGATACAAACTTGCACAACCTGGTCACGGCCCATGTGTGCAAGCGCCCGCCCGACCTTGATGCGGGGCTTCAGCTTGTCGCACGTCTGAGAGGTTAGTTCGACAGCCCTCATCAAGGAGAATCGTTAGATTAGAGCTGACAGATAGACTGCAGAGCGAAGCTCTGAACAGGCGGAAGAAGCCATCGAACACATGTGCTTCTTGACAGATGCCAATCAACTTTACCACAACGCCCTGGGCCTTTACGACCTCGAACTCACTCTGCTGGTTGCCCAGCAAGCTCAAATGGTGCGTTTAACAGCTGCAATCTGTAGATTTGGGCGGTTATGCTGACGTTTTTTCTCCACTCCAGGACCCGAGAGAATATCTCCCGTTCCTCCGGAAGCTACAGCAACTGCCTGAGCTGCGCCGACGCTTCGAGATCGATAACCACCTCGGCCGGTTCGCCAAAGCGTTGAAGCATCTCCACGCCCTCAGTGCGTACGACGAGCTCAAGCAATATGCCATCAAGCATTCTCTCTACCGGGAGGCCCTGGAACTGTACAAGTATCAGCCAGAGCAGCTCCGGGAGATGACCCAGCTGTACGCCGATTACCTGTACGAGCAATCCAACTACAAGGAAGCGGCGATAGGTAAGTTTTTGCAGGTGCTTCGATCTCCTCTGTAGAGTGAAATAATATTGACTGTAAATGTTGTAACTGCAGCCTACGAATCTCTCGGCCTCTACGAACCGGCCTACAAATCCTACCAGCTTGCCCACCTCTGGCGCGAATCCCTCTTTTGCGCCATCATGGTGCCTCTATCCGAGACCGAGTTGCAGAATCACGCTCTCAACCTGGCCACCACCCTGACGGAAGCGAACAAGGACTATGTTTCAGCAGCATATATCTACGCAGAACACTTGAAGGACATCCCCACGGCAGCGCGCCTCTTCTGCCGCGGCTCCCGCTTCGCTGACGCCACACGGCTACTGGCGCTGAACGGCCAGCAGTCTCTGATCCCGGAGATCGTGGACACGGGCCTGGCAGACGCAATGGGCTCGACGACCGACTTCCTGGCCGACTGCAAGGCGCAGCTCCAGGCGCAGGTGCCGCGCATCCGCGAACTGCGCGAGAAACGGGCCACCGACCCGCTGGCTTTCTTCGGCGGCGATCCATCATCGAACGAGTTTGGTGGCGACGTGCCGGACAACGTGTCGCTCGCGCCGACGGACGTTTCCACCGCTGCGGGGAGCATGTTCACGCGGTACACGGGCGGGACGGCCATGTCGCGACGGACGTCGAAGACGCGACGACGGGAGGAGCGCAAGCGGGCGAAAGGCAAAAGGGGCACGGTCTACGAGGAGGAGTACCTGGTGAACAGCGTGCGGCGGCTCATCGAGCGGGTCAACAGCACGATTGACGAGGTGCAGGGGCTGGTCGAGGCGCTCCTGCGGCGCGGGATGAGGGAGCGCGCCGCGGCGGTGCAGAAGGCGCTGGAGGAAGTCCTTTCCATGTGCCGAGACTGTCGGGAAGAGGTGTTTGAGGAAGCGACTCAAAGGGAGAAAGAGATGCAGGCGGCTGCGGCTGCACCATCCGCAGACGCTGCTGCTGCTGGTCAGGGAGAAGAGGATACTCGACCCCCTCCCGTCGGCGGAGATGCAGTCCTGTGGGACAGTATCCAGGGACTTAACCCAGATCGTCGTGTAGCGCCTCTGGTGCGGGAGTTCAAGAAGCTGGATCTCCTGGGCTGATCTGATCTGATATGATCTGTCTCGAGAACGAAGAACCTGAGAGAGAAGCTGTTATATCCATGCAGTACACATACTTCTACGCAGGTATGCACAGTACATTCGTACGTACTTACAGAAACTTAACCATCTCTCGACATCTACAGTATTCAACAGAGTATCATAGAAGTAGATGAACCAGATAACAGACCTGTTGATAATGACACGACCTCACTTCACAGAATACTACTACCAGGAACTACTACCAGGAAAGTACTAGAGATTTGCGACAAAGAATAATATGATTATTTATGAATGACGATATTTTCGATCCATGCACCTATGCATGGATTATTTGTGTGCAGGAGTAAATACATGAACAATATATATCTCAGTATTAACTATATGCACGAGAAAAAAAAAGAATTTTTGCTTCTGTCACCCATGCATCATTGCCAATTCATGTGATTATGACTTTTCTGTCTGTCTGTATATCTGTCTGTTTCCCTCTATCGCAAGGCAATAATTGGGGTATCAAACTCATCCATCTTGTCAACAATGCAGAAAAAGCGAAAACAAAATATTTTATCGAGAGTTCAGTCGCAAACAAACAAACAGCTGCAAGCGGAATGAGGATGCCCTTTCGTATTCCTTCAAGAACAAGAAAATCTGTTCTATTGGCGTTTCCTTGCTGTTTTCTGCATTTATTGGGCACTTCTGATCTCGCCCGTCTCACTGACCAGGTGGGTGTCGACTTTGACTGGGCCTTCCCCGACGCCAGTCAAGATGACCCGGCTGATGCCGTTCTTCAAAACGTCGACAGCCCTCGAGTCCAGCTTCTCCAGATCCACACCCGCTGTCACTCCCTTCAGGCGGTCCCCGAATGGGCCTTCCCAGCCCTCGATGGCTGACCCGAGAATGGCCTTGAATGTTCCGGCCACGAGCTCAGAATCTTCGTCGAGGTAGTATATCACAGCATTGGGGCCTGCGTCAAAGGTGTAGGCGCACACCGTCTTTCCGACGACGCGGTTGATGTCGTGGACCAGACGGACCGCCGCCCGGGAGACGTCGTTCATGTAGAAAATCGGCGGCCAGGAGTCGAGGCAGGTGGCGTGGAAGGTGTTCGAGTCACGCATGGTGATCTCTGCAAAGGCCGGGAAGTCTCGATCGCGGATCGCGGCCTCGATGGCGCTCATACGGGCCGGCACAACGGTCTGCGCGCGGGTCGCGAACAGCTCCGAGGTCGCAACCGTGGACTGCATGCCCTCCGTGCTGGGAACGTCCTTCTTCTCAGCGCTGACGACCAGGATCAGCGCCCTCATCTCGGGCCAGTGAGAGGCCGGCGCGACTTCCTCCGCGATGCTGTCGCTGCCATCCGCCTGTGTGCCGGCCCGCCACGCAACATACCCGCCCAGCAGAGAGCGGCAGGCAGACCCAGAGCCCTGTCTTGCGATGCGACTGAGCTCTGTTGGAGACTGAGGAAGCTGGTACAGGTCTGCAACAGCTCTCACCAAGGCCGCAAACCCCGCCGCTGAGCTGGCCAGACCAGCAGCCGTGGGGAAATTGTTCTCGGAGACGATGCGCAGGGGATAGGTCGAAAGTTTCGGGAGAGACGGATCGGCAGCCTCCAATTCTCTTCGGAGAGCGCGCAGGTGTGAGAGACAAGCAACCGTCCGTTTTGAGGACGCAATGTCCTGGGGTTTGCCATTGAGCGCCAACGTGTCCCCCTCAGAGGCGGGGTAGGCGGCGGAGCAGGACGCAGTGGTGAGCGTGCGCAGGGAGCGCTGCGACAGGGTCACAGAGAGCGAAGAGTTGGTCGGAAGGTTCAGCGAGGCATCTCGCTTGCCCCAGTACCTGGTTGAAGCTGTTAGGAGCCGCGTCGCTCATCGTCGTAGGGGCTTGAGAAATTGAGTCGTTTGGTGGGGGGAAGTGGAACGCTTACTTGATCACCGCAATGTTGACCGGGGCAGTGGTGGTGGCGCGGAAGACGGTCTTGTCAGCCATCGTGCTGGAGGAGTATATACAGTAGAAGATGCTCAGGGAGCAGAGACAGCGGGGTGGGATCTATATGCGAGTCGATCGTGCTGTATCACAGGGGTTCGTTGACTCTTTTGGGCTCCGCATTTGCTGTCAAGGCGGTGAAGCGGGCATCCGCCATTGACCAACCGGCATCGCCGGTATTCTTTAATTAATTGCCTTGGTATAATTCTTTGTGTCCCAAGCAGTCCACAGCTCTGTTGTACTCCCACGCCCACACGGCCCTCTACCCTTTTCTTCAGCTTTCCCTCTTTTCATTCTGTGAATTGCGGGCCAAGGCTCTTGACAATGGGTGCCAGCGCCAGCACTCCCACGGCTCCTCCGGCCGACGCGGAGCCGGTTGCCAAATGCCCTGTCGACCACAAGACTCGCGAGATTTGGCTGCAACAAGCCAAGGGCTCCGCTGGCGGAGCTCCTCATCCTCTCCCAGCATCGTCTGATCCCTCAGCTTCCTCCGAGAGTGCACCTGCCAAGCACTATCGACCGCTGTCCACCGACCGTGAAGTGAGCAGCATCCCGCGAGCGTTCGATCCAGGCTCGAAACCAGAGACCAACAATGCCCCATCGCCGTACTCTGCTTCGCCTTCAGCCTCGCACGCTACCCCTTCCAACTCCGAGTCCGAGACGGGGCATGATCCCGCCACGGGGAATTGGATCTACCCCTCCGAACGACAATTCTTCGATGCGCTGGTCCGCAAGAACAACCTGCCGCCCTCTGCCACGTCAGCAAAGGAGCTGGCCACGTCGGTAGCGTCTATCATCCCGATCCACAACGCCGTGAACGAGAAGGCCTGGGCGGAGATTCTGGAATGGGAGAGTCGCGCGCCGAAGTCCGATCCCGGCAGCAAGCGGTGCGGTGGTCCCAAGCTGTACTCGTTCCGGGGTCTGGGGACGGATCCCCAGTTTCTGAGTCCGCGCGCGCGGATCAATGGGTGGCTGGGCTACCAGCTGCCTTTTGATCGGCACGACTGGGTCGTCGAGCGCTGCGGGGGAGAGAGGATCGAATACGTGATCGATTTCTACCAGGGCAGACGGGCCTCATCGTCCGGGCAGTCATCAAATTCTGGACTGACTGGGGCGGCCACTGGGCAGGAAAAACTGAGTTTCTATCTGGATGTGCGGCCAAAGCTGAATAGTTGGGAAGGATGGCGCATGCGATTCAATCGATTTTGGGGACTCGATGGATTATAAATGGTCTGGGTGGAATACATACAAGTCATATCCACACGCTGTATTATAGATGGATGTATGTAAATTTAATTCTGTATGCATGTGTGTATGTATGTACTATAGATATTTTTCGAATTATGATACTCTCCCACGTTGACAGAATCACCAAGTGCAATCACCCCTCGTTTCTTGTCATAAATTGGTAGGCCGGAACAAATCCGTTTCGACCCCGGATTGTGTGGCTGACGAAATGCCGTCATTCCAGCTAGTAGGGTCAAAGTCACATACCCGTATTCAGAATTTACCACAACATAGGAATAGTGATAAGCCGAGAACACAGTTCCAACGAGCATGGGATATATACACGAAAGTCCTGCAAGAAGCCAACGTCCCAAGAACAAGATAATTGCTCCAAAACTCCGACGCCAGAAACAAAAAGCCACTCACAAAACATAAACTAAACGGACCGCAACAACATAAAGAACAGGCATAACACAAGATATCCGGCCGCATAATGTAACAGAAGGACGTGTGGTGACATAGACGAGGCAAATGACATCGTATAGTCTCAGGATACAAGCGATGCTGTCTTGGATCGATTGCCTCACCCAAGGGTGGCAGCTAAGACAATGATGGCCAGGATGACCGCTAAGATTATCAGCAAGCAGCACATCTTGTTTCTTGCGTTCTTTTGATATCGGCTGGCACTGCGCAGCTCGACGTTTGCTCCGCGTGTTTCATTCGTCACCCTCTCCACGTTTTCACTGATGATGTCCAGCTGACCCCCTTGCTCATGTACGATATGGGCAACATCTCGGAAAAGCTCATTCAGCTCTCCGACGCTCTGTTCGATGTTGCGGATCTCGGCCTCGCGCTCAATAATCAACGCCTCCTGGAAGTCCACCTCATCTTGGTTCGCCAACCGCTGCTGCTCCTCCTGCAGCTGCTGTTGTAGCTGCTGCTGCTCTTCACCAGCAACTGTCGTAGTGCCCTCCTCCAAAGCAGTCCGGGAGGCCACTGCAGAGGCGCGCTGTTTCTCAAGCGCACGGCGCTGGACAGTCTGGAATTCGTCGAGTGTTGCTTTAAATTCAGTTGACAGCTTCTGCTGAGTCCATTTTTGGGCAGGCTACACGGCGCGTTAGCACTGAATTTTTCCAAGAAATAAAGGCCGTCAACGTACATTAACGTCTTCCCATGCCTGGACCTTCTTGATGCCCTCCCCCACCTCTTTGAACAGGGCCCGGGTCTCCTCCAGGAGATCATGCACTCGTTCTCGGACCCGTGCAGTATCGCGTTTTGTGCCCAGCAGCGCGATCTGCTTTGACAAATTGGACGTATTCGAAGTCAGCGTAAACAGCTGATTGGACAGGTTCTCCGTAAACCTATGGAACTCCGGGTCATCGCGGTATTGCGGGTCATCTTCGCGCCGCCAGGTCGTCGGTTGCGACTCGAGTGAGCTTAGGCGATCAAAGGACATGATAGCAGCAGGAGCGCTGGGTACCCCGACCGGCGGTGAGAGGAGAAGCAGAGGAGCAACGCAGGTGATGGCGATGGCGTTATCACCTGGACGTTGCTGTTGCTGCCTCGGGGCAGGACGCTAAGCATCTCAGGTGACGTTGGCTGGAGCTCTACACCCGATTCTGGACTAGCGCGTCCCCACCTGATCTGTGGCGCGGGGTTCCTGCTGTGCCACATCAATCATGTGATTGTGGCTGGTGGTGTTTTGGTGCAAAAACATCCCGAAGCTTCATGAATGGAGCTCCGGAGATTATTATCGTCGCGACATTGCACCCCGCTGCGTCTCTCATTGTACCCTTTTCAGCGCACCGAGATTTTTGTCGGTGCTTGCTCGATAGCTGTCAGACCTCTGGCCATATTCTCCAAAACGATGCAGTGATTTTTCTGTGCGCATCTGGTCAAAGAGGTCTTCGAACCGCAACCACACAATGGCCGCCTCGAAACCACGGCCCTACAGGCGCATTTTGACCTCTGCGCTGCATCGGAGGTTTGTCCATGCCTCTGCTCTCGCGCTGCTAGTCGACTATGTTGTGTCTTTTGCCATCGGAGTGAAATCTTCATGTAAGTAAGCCCGCCAGAGGCTCTTTAGTCTCTATATCTAAATCGTCTATTATAGTTTTCTGGTCATGGTTTCCAATTGGAATCTGCGGGCTACGTGCTCTGCTGCTCTTCGTTTCTAGTCTGTCCGTTTTTGTCCTCCGCGTTGGTCAGATGCATGTTGGGCCTCGCACAACAAATTCCCAGTTTGCTACCTTTCGCCACCTTTTCCCCCTACATATAATCCAGACACTCGGATGGTATCTCTTCTCCGCATGGTGGTTCAGTGAGATATATGTGTGGTCTGCCCCCCAGACCGCAGACCTGGGATGGGTGAAACCCGGCCGGTATGGATTAGGCTGCAGCACGAAGGTCTCAGATTTTTTTTTGTACTAACTTGGACCAGACCCAATGAGCGAACCACGTTGAACGAGAGACCGATATATCTTCACTGCTACCACTTGCTTCTGGCGATCATGCAGGCTGCCATACATTTGTACAGCGATTGCGACCGTCTCGACATACCCGTTGCGAAGCGGACCCGAGAAGCAGAGGATCAGCGGACCCATCCGGTAGATTCTGTCGTGAAGAGGATACAACAGGCAGTCATCAAAAGCGTCTTCGATTCTTTTACGAGGGGTGTTCTGATGGCTGTCGCCAGTCCTTTCATCTACATGCTGTTCCTCCGACACACCGCGTGGAGCTACACTTTGTATTTCGCGAAACTCTTCTGGAACTTCCCGCGAGCTGCAGCAGCTCCCCCGGGTCGTATTCCTTCGGCCATTTATTCTCTGTTTCCAAAGCAGGTCGTCTCTGGAGCGTGCCTTGTCTTTTTGTGGCAGACTTCCAACGTTTTCTTCACGGTCTTCATCGCTCAGGAGCCTCTGAAGCGGGGTCAACCGCTCACAACTGAGACGAAGGATCCTACTGGAAGTCTGATTAATGGATTGAAGGCAAGAAAGGAGCTAGTCAAGACCTTCGCTTTCTGGGAGCTCTGCTTTATTAGCCAGCGCTTCCCGGACCGACGGAAACGATTTTCAGCGACATTGATCGTGACGGGGGGCCAGCATGGACGCAGATTCTGAATGCGTCTGTCGAAATCGTCAAAGGAATTACCACGCGGATCAACGAATATAAAAACCCACCGTCGGCAGTCTCCAAATCGACGGCTGAGCAGCCTCAGCTCCAGACTCTGCCGCGGTTGACGGAGCCTCCCAAGCAAGAGAACATTTTTGCTGCATCGCCCAAGGGAACCTCGCGCCACGCAAAGCTTGGGGAGACTATTAGTACGACAGCAAAGTCTTACGGCCAGTCTCCCGATTGGACACCGATTGCAAGGGCCAAAGCTCGCGATATGCTGAACCAAGCCTCCAACGCTGTTCTGAGTCCGGAAAGAAAACAGAAGCTGCTTGGATCGTCGCCGGAAATGAAGCTTTTGACTGGAGCGCAGCCATCTTCGGCCGGTCCTTCCATTCCGTTCATCTCCCCGATCCTCCGATCTCCCGTGGGCCAGCTCTTCCGGCAGACGTACGATCGTCGCCTACGCCGTATCGTACTTGGCGGCCCTCACGGAGAACTTGGACCGATCGTCGACGCTATCGAGTCGTTGACGAGGCTCCTCGTCGCGAGTCTGGCAGAGGACCCGTACGGCAAGGTGCAGGCCGACGTTCCCACCGTCGTGCGCCTCTTCACCGACACGATCATCACCTTGGAAGACTTTGTGCAGGGCGGTCTTGACGTCCACTGGACGGACGTCACCTTCCCGCCCTCGAGCGATGCGGCAGCTCAGGAGCAGGCACGACGCGTCCCGGAGGTGGACATCGTCCTGGACACGTTGAAGTCGTCGCTTTCAGACCTTTTGGCCGCCTTTAAACCCTACCTGGGGGAGGTAGGGTTAAAGGAGAAGGATCTCCGCTTAGCCCGCGCGGCAGCAGGCATCGTTGACGAAGATCAGGAACCATCTTCTTGACTTGATTGTATAAGTATCTACGTGATGGGCCAGGTTTTGTTGCTTTTTGGCGCTATGTTTTTGTTTTCGCTGCATAATGAATGCAATGCAATGCAATGCATTATTGTATCTGGGTAGGATGTCATCATCATTGTCATCATCATCATGGGGTTAAAAGAAAGAAAAGGAAGGAAAGGAAGCAAGCAAGCAAGCAGACAAGGAAATAATAATCATAAACAAAGGTTTAAAAAGAGAAGAGAAAAAAAAAGAGAGCAAATAGAGAAATGAAATAAAAAGAGGTTCGGAGTTTAAATTAATTTAATACCGTAATCTATCTTCCTTCCTAGAAGAAATGAATAATGAATCCTTGCTCGTCTTTTTTCTTTCTCACTCTCCCTCTCTCTCCATCTGTCTGCTCTGCTCTGTCTGCCCTGCTCTCTCTTTCCGCTGTCCTAGATCTATGGTTTTTGATTGTTTTTTCTTCTGCACTGCCAGTCCCGCCCCATCCGGGACGTCCTGTTCAGATACCCTAAGTTATACATAACTTAAGCACCTTAGGTTCCGGTTCCTTCCTGAAGGTGTCTTAGGTAGACACTACTGTCACTGCTCGTCAGTCCGACTCCGGCACGAGGTCCTGCCTAGGATGTGTACGGAGTATGTAGGTAGCTGTCTATCAATTTATATAATACCAATACCTATCTAGCTTCTTTTATTTCTTTTTTTTCCTTCTAAACCAAGCTAAACTGAACTATGTAATTTGTGACGAACCCAAATTCATTCCCTAGTAGATCTATCCTGAAGGTATGGAGCGGTTCAATACTAGAAGACTAGGTTAGGGGGAAAAAGAAGAAGCCAGGAGATGAGGCCCCAAGAGGGGGTCATAGGCCTGGTATTCTGCCGGTCCATTCCTTCACCGCCTACCACACCGCTCACATGATCCCGAGTATCAGCGCCGTCACATCACCCCCCCGGTCAAAAAGAGCCTGTCCTCAGGCGATGTCGTTGAGAATTCTGGCCTGACCAATCAGGAAGCTGCATCGCGGGCGGTCCATAAGCGTCTGTATTGAGCCTAGATACAGCACGTGTTAACGGCGCATTCTTATTGGTCTGATCAAAATCCAAACGTCCGCCCGCCCCGGGTCCGATCTCTCCCTCCTCTCCTCATCACTGATCGGTTCCGCAGCGCCGGCGACTTAGTTTCGGCTTCCAATCCTTCGGGCGGTCATCCGCGATGTGGTCTTCCAGAAATTCGTCATCCTCGGCAGCCTTAAGCCATTCGGCTAGGCGTACTGGCGGCCCGGGTGCCTCTGGGTATTCGAGGTGAAATCA